TATCAACAATTATTTAGTCAAATGTCCTCCCAAACTTATTCATTTGCCTACAATCTTAACCACATGCCATTTATACAATTAGTTATCTAATATTCCTCTTTAAACCAACATACTTTTAAAAACTTCAATATCTTCTTCAGCTTCAGATTGAATAAAAACAAATGTGAAGTTACTAATTTGGTGCTACCTCTATCTGAATATTTCTAGCACACATGAAAATAAGTATATAACTACTAGTGCCCCAGTGCATGGATTCATGCACATTAAAAGGAAATTAATTAGAAGGTGGCTGGTGGGGTGGGACTGGGTGAGAGGGGTGAGACATGCCTTGGAGCCAACCTTCTGTGGTCCCTCCCTGGCTGGCTGCACCTGGGGTGGTGCCACGGCTCAAAGGGTGTCTGCGGAGTGGGGTCCCTCCAACAGATGGAATCCCTTGGCCTGGCCAGTGGGGACCAGGCCGAAACCAACTCTCCAACATTCCGAGAGGGGTCCCAGATTGAGAGAGGGCAGTTCTTGGGTGACACACCCTGGAATTGGGCTCCCTCCTCTCTGGTTCCAGGGTGTGTCACTTAAGAATCTCTGCTGCCAAGTCATTGCAGCTTGGCAGCTCCTGCATTGAGTGTCTGCCCCCTGATGGAGAGTGTGTGTCATACCTACAGCCGCTTAGATAGTGGCTTAGCCTTTTATATATATAGATTAAAGCAAAAGCACCTCAAACCAAAAGTGGTACCTGTATTATACATTAGGAAACATTGATTAGACATAGCTATGTTATCCTGAATTATTTCTCATGAGATTTCTAAGATATTGCAAGCCCTCTACTCTGTAAGATATTAATTTTCTATTCACTTTTATTTGGTTATAATTATTTCACAAATTTTATTTCTCAGAAAGTGTACCTAATACTATAATTTGGAGTCTTGATATTTCTCTTTTGTTCTCAGTCTATCAGACTGAAAAATTTTAAGATTATAATTCTAAATCTATAAGATTATTTATACATTATCTTCTAATTTTTAATATTGCAAATGAGAATTCCAATGCTAGTCTGAATCTCCTTTTATATGAAAGTTTATAGGATTCTAACATCACTTGAAATGCAGAAATCTTACCTTTATGCTCTGGGGTAGATTTTTTTTTTTTTTTTTTTTTACAACAATTCTTCCCAGGATTATTTATAATCCATAGGTAATACTCTTTCAGCTCAGGAAATTTTCTTTCATTATTTTTTTAGTTGTTCACTTACATTCATTCTTTTTTTCCTATTCTGTGGTTCCTGTTAGATAAATATCAGGACATTATATATACCACCCTCTCTCTTTTTTTTTTAATCTCATGAATCTACTCTTTTGTCTGTGTTAGGAGAGGATCATATTAATTCTTATGAGTTTATCTGATAACTCACTATATCAGTTTTGAGAATATATATGCTGCAATTATATTTTATTTTGAGGTGCATAAAATCACATATTTCATTTTCAAGAATTGTTTCTTATTCTTCTCATATTTCAAGTCATGCTTCTTTGCCCTGACGTTTCACCAAAATACAAATTTGAACTTTTAAAAAGTTAGCTCTTGTTTTCTTCAATAATTCTTTTTAATACAAACCATTTGCTCAGATTGATCTGTTAGTTCCCTTTTTGAGACTGCTTAATCTCCTCAGATGACTGAGGAGGTTTGGCAAATCAAATGTTTGTTGATATTTATAAATATGAAAGTTTATACTGAAAAGGATTGATAGCTCCTTAGAGTGCTATTAGCATTGCATAAGTCACCACAAGCTTCCCCCAGTGTATCTCTGCCTCCAGTCCCTGCTGAGACAGTCATGTGGGTCCAGGAGATCTGATCCCATCTCTCACCTTTTAAAATCATCCCAGGTGCTACACCAATTGCAGGGTAAATTTCAAGCACCTTCTCCTAGACTTCAAGTCCAGTGTGCACCCACCTCTGTGTATCATTCCATCTCTAAACCTCCACACTCAGTCCTTTCCTGATACTGTGTGCTTGAATCCTTTTCTCTTTCTTTTTCAAGGGAAGAGAAAGAAAGGAAGAAAAGGAATGGAAGGGTAATGAGTAGGAAGAAGGATGAGGCGGAAGGCAGGAAGGAGGAAGGCGGCAGGAAGGAACGGAAGGATGGATAAGGAAGACGATCCGCGAGTGAGCAGGAGAGATGGAGAGGGAGTGGCTGAGGAGGAGGAGAGTGCGCGTATAGAGTGCGGAGGCGGGCCCTTCGGCCTGAGGACAAGCTAAACAATCATCCCTCCCGCCCCCTCCCTCCTCCCGACCTCCTACTCCTCCCCTCCGCCTCCTACTCCTCTTCTTCTTCTCTTTTCTTCTTTTTCTTCTTTCTCTCTCCTTTCTCTCTCTCTCCTCTCTCTCTCTCCTCTCCTCCTCCTCCCTCCCTCCCTCTCTCTCTCTCTTTTTCTTTCTTTCTTTCTTTCTTTCTTTCTTTCTTTCTTTCTTTCTTTCTTTCTTTCTTTCTTTCTTTCTTTCTTTCTTTCCTTTCTTTCTTTCTTTCTTTCTTTCGTGTTCTCAACCTCCTTAGGCCCCGTTTTCTGGTCATAGCAAACCTCGAATATTTTGAGTGGAGGAATTATTCCTTGTACACAATTTACCTTGGGAGGGGCTGCCAATCACTGTCATAGGCACACAACACATGTGAGACCAATTAGAGTCATTTCTAGGAATTAATGTAATCCCAGAGGGGAGAGGGAGTCTTCTCTCTTCTTTGTGGCTACTCTCTGGGGTGGTGGAGTAATGTAAGCCTGGAGCTGTCTGGGAAGAGGCCCTGCCACATGAAGGAATCTCGTACTCAGTTGGAGGGAAGGAAGCCACATACAGACAAAAGCAGAATCAAGATGAGAGAGAGAGAGAGAGAGAGAGAGAGAGAGAGAGAGAGAGAGAGAGAGAGAGAGAGAGAGAGAGAGAACACAAAGGGATGATGTCACTTGAGTCTCTTGCATCCTGCCCTTTAACTTGGTTTCATGAGCCAACATTTTTTTCTTCTTCTAATTTTTTTAATAAGCTGACTTGTGTTTTCCTTATTGACTAATATGCAGCTGTACTGGATTGCTGGCAGTTCCCTGAATTCCACACTGTTTCCTATTTGCACTCCCTACAGGTTCAAGCAACATAGTGCAAGCCCTATAAAACCCAGAGGGTGCAAGAAATCTGGGGTGGCTCTTGTCATTTTTCTTTAGGCACCACCACGTGGCCACATCCAGGTTGGCCGAAAGGATTGCCCTGGACCTTCTCCTTCAGTCCCTGTCTCCCCCACCCCCATCTCTCCTCAGTCCTTTGTGCCCTTTAAAGTTGGCCTCCTCCTGGGGCCTGGCTTTGATAGGGGCCATTACTTTTGTCCTTCTGATTCTGCCCTCGACAGGAGACCTTGGATGCTTCAGGCTTCAGACCTTGAGTTCCCACAATAAAGATTCAGCAAGGACCCAAAGACCATTCACACTGCAAAGACCAATTCCTTCTGGCATAGCTTTCCTCCCTTATTATGTCTGAGAGCACTCCTCTACTTCCCGGCCTTGAGGTCCGTCCATTCAGGAGGTGAGGGCCATTGTGTTTCAATAGTGTGACAAGATGCGGGTGTTACACACACAGCAGGTGATCAGAAGAGGAAGCATGACTAAAGCAGGCAGGTTCAGGGGAAAGGGTGAGGTCACAGATGAAGCAGAGTCTGCACTGGCTATCAACAAGAGAGCTAGGCTAGACTTAGAGTGGTTAGGGCTCTCCCAAGACAGGGCAGGGCATGAACAGCCCAGCAGAGGGGCCTATGTGGCTTGGGAAATGACAGGAAAGCAGAGTTCAGTGAAGGTCTTGAATGCCAGGCCCAGGACTTTAGCGGTCATTCTCGGAGTCTGAGCAGGGCTGGGATCGACACTGGGTCCCTTTTGGGAGGGCCATTGGTTATACCCTCCCTGGTGCACAAAGAGGACTGAGAAGTCAGGACATGAACATCACCACCACTTCCTGAGGTTAAAAAAGGGGTCTCTCTTAGTTTTGGCTCTCACAGACCCCCCAGCCTGCCTTGTCCCTCTGTGACCCAGGGCCATGTGGGCTCTGACCAAAATGGATGGCTTCCCTTCATGGCCTTGGAGCCTCATACTCTCCTTCCTCCACAGCTCCTGTCCATTCCGCACCCCAGCCCCCATCACTGCCTGGTCCTCAACAGTCCACCTCTTGGGCTTTCCAACCTATGTCTGTCTTCATTCCGTGACTCATTAGAGAGATTTGTATCACTCCTCTGTTTAGGAAGCCCCTAAGTGGAGGTTCTGGATATTTTTGGGGTCAATTTCCTTCCTATCTCAAGGACTATTCGTGTAGATTCACTTGGCTGAGTTTCTGAGCCAGGCCAGCTGAATGGGAGGAAATGTCCCGGCATGCCCTTTGCCCGATGATGCTGTTTCTTCTGCAGGGTCAAGGCAGGGAGTCCCAGTCTGGGAGCTGGGAAGGAGCGGATGGGCAGCTTTGTACGATGGCTCCTTGAAAAGATCTTGGCACTGGAATGAGACAGACTCTGAGTCTGAAACCAGCCCCATCCCTCAGCAGCTGTGTGACCTCCCGACCCTCAACCGTGTCTTTCTCATTTGTAAAGTGGAGATAGAAATGCCCACCTTACAGAGGTAATAGGAAAGGTAAACACCACTTTTAAGTCTGATGTATAACGACTGGCAGCTGATATTATGCTTATTTGATCCCAACCTTTTTGAGAGAAAAAAAACAAGCTTGTCCAAAGTTATGTGTTGAGACAGTCACAATTCATCCTGTTTCCCACACTGGGGTTCTTCAGCCCACCCTCACACTGCCCCCTCCAAGTGGGAGAGAATAAGCAGGAGCAGAAGAGCATGATGGGAAAATCTTCCTGTTTTCTGATCACCCCCGAGGACTACACAGGCGGCAGTGACAGGGTTAGTAGACCCACACGGGGGCTATTTCCACAACAGTGGTGGAGAATAAAGGAACTAGAGAGGGGGAAAATCAAACAAAAGAAAGCGCCTGGAAAAGATGTTTTTATGTTCACTTACATGGAAAAAAAGATCAAAGTATACAGCATGAAATATAGGTATCTCAGCAAATCCATCCTCATGAACCCATTTGTTCAATCGCAGTTATAATTCAAGAGTTGCCAAATGGAAATCATAAAATCAGGGTGTGGGGGGGGGGGGGGAAAGGACCACCAAGGGAAAGGTAGGAATTACGTGTTATTTCTTATCTAGTTTCAGATAACTGGGAGTTTAAACTTTTCCAGCAAGTCAGAGTGATATATAAACAGATGCCATACTAAAATATGATTGTAGCAAAAATATAAAACTCCTAAAGCATGAGGACAATATTTTAGAAAATAAAAACATTAAAATCTGATAATACCAGAAACTACAGATAGGATCATTTGAGCACTTCGGTATCTCAACCGAACAGCAGTTGCAAATGATGGGTGTATATTAAAGAATAAAGCACTGGGTCTGCACATAACTTAAAGAGGGGTAATATTTCTAAACACCGACTTTGTAAGAAAACATGAAGGACATCTTACACTCAACAACAATGGCTGAAAAGAGGAAATTACTTTCTGAAGGATGCAGTCGGGAGCATGCCAAGGCCTTTTGTCTACAACGTGCTCTCGGCCGCGTTGGGATGTGTTCGCACTGCCTGGGGTTTCCTGCGGAGTCTAGCACCAATATGTGGATCAGGTGTTTATCTTTGATCTGAGTTGTTGATGTCTTCAGTTTTGAGTGTGTTGAGGTATGTTTTCTTTGGTTGCTGTTGTGATGAATGTGTAATAACAAAAACCACCAATATTTACAACATTTAAAGGTTTTAGATTTCAGTGTCAACTCTTCACATAAGAAAAATTAGGGAACTCTTAAGGTCATGGGAAGGTCATTACTTCCTAGCGTCGGTCAAGAAACTGTTTTCGATACAGAGAACAATTAGCCTACTCGAGCAGCTATATGCTTTCTGGTCCAGAATCTTCCCCGTGCTCAGCGGGGAGGCCAATCCCGTGACTGCCGTGCTGGCGGTTCGCCATGCTTCACAGTACTGATCCTCCAGACGCACTCCGTGGGGGTTGGAGCCATGCCAAACAACCTTCTGGGGCCTGAAAAGTAATTTTGTCGTGTTATTTTTTTCTCTCTTCTTCATGGCATATTTCAGTGAACAAATTGGCATAAGTCTAGCAAATGAAGTCAAACCCCCTGAGCCCTCCCTGGATTGACCCCATGTCATCTCTCCATCCTCAATGCTCTTTCTAATTACTAGTAGCTGAACACGCTACGTTCCACCACACCCAGCTCATACATGTTCTCAAGTCATACCCTGTGCTATGTGAACCTGAACCTTCCCTCATGAGGTCCTTTTGTCTAAGCCAGCCTCTCTTTCATTCTCAGACCGGGTTTTCTTTCTCATCCTTCAAAGTCCATTAAATGCTTCCTCGTACAGAAGCCTTCTTGATTCTCACCCCCAAGTAATGGGTGAAATCCATTTTTCTACTGCGATGTTCTGGCTGGAATCACAGATAATCTGTGTCTCTCTTCCCCTGTAGGCTATGAGCCCTGTAAGGGTAGGGACCATGTAGATACTGTGCCTTCAGGCCTGGTATCAGGAGTGGCATAGAGTAGATGTTGAGGAAAGATTTGCTGAGTTGTTCTATTCTTTTTTTATTTTATATTTTATTGATTTTTTTACAGAGAGAAAGGGAGAGGGATAGAGAGTTAGAAACATCAACGAGAGAGAAACATTGATCAGCTGCCTCTTGCACACCCCCTACTGGGGATGTGCCCGCAACCAAGGACTGGAATCAAACCCAGGACCTTTCAGTCCACAGGCCAACACTCTGAGTTGTTCCATTCTTAATAGCATACATAGTTTTCAAAAGATTTGCGTGCAGCTCACAGCATAGGGTTGAAGGATCACCAAGAGTAGCATTGCTTACCACTTATTAAGTGCCTTACTATATTCTAGATGTTCTCACACTTATTCCATTTTCCCAACAACTCTATGGTATAGATATGATTACCTTGCCCATTCAACAGGTGAGGCAGCTGAGGCTCAGAGAGCAGAAGGGCCTTATCGAAGATCCCATATTAAGGTCTTGGACCCGGCTCCAAAGCCAGGACTCTCTCCATGGCCCTTAGCTACCTCCTTGAGGCTTTATGATGGCAAAGCCCCAGAGGGGCAGCTGACAAAAGCATCCCATGGTTAGAATGTCTCCTAAAACTGTCTATCATACCATATACTTTGAGGCTTCCACCCCTACTTACCAAGAAGGATCTGTCATCACGTCTCGGCCATCAAAGGAGTATATTGGAACATGTGTACTGAACTGACCTCCATGGCCAGAAAAAATTGAGTCCCAATTATTGAAAAGTACTTGGCCCTATGGAGACAAAAATGTCACATTAGAATCATTATACATCAGCCTGCAAGTGGACTAGTTATTTACTCATTCTTTTATTATTATTTTTTAATTTAAATATTTTTTATTGATTTTTTTTAAAGAGGGGAAAGAGGGAGAGAGAGAGAGAGACATCAATCGGCTGCCTCCTGAACACCCCCTAACAGGTAGTGAGCCTGCTACCTGGCCATGTTCCCTGACTAGAAATCAAACTGACAACCTTTCAGTGCAGGTATAATTCCCAACCAACTGAGCCACACTGGTTAGGACTATTTGCTCATTCTTTAAGGCCACATGTCACCTCACACTGAAAGCAACCTCAATCACAGAGGCAGAGTGGGGACTCAGGAAATATCTGTTGTTTGATTTTATCATCCATTCCTGAACCCTTTCAGTTTTACTATCTTATTTTTTTTAAACTATTTTTTCTTATGATATGTATACAAAGTCCTATCCTGTCAAAAGTATATTTTAGGTCTTTATTTCCTTATTGTTTTAAAGTATTTTATATGTATATGACAAGCTTCAAATTTGTGCCAATCCACATTATGGAGATAAATCTCTTACTCCTTTCTTCTGAAGGAGCCCTGCTCCCTTCAGCTATTTTTATTGCAAGCATACAAAAAATTTGGTCCCAAATTGAAGTACTAGGATCCCAAAGACCAAAGGGTGTCAAAGTACCTTTGAGATCTAGTGGGAGGTCAGGCCCCAGGGTGTGTGTGAGCAATAACAGAGGTGTACTTCTGCAGCTTTGAAAGAGTCAACTACTTCCGTGGTTAATTATATCACTGAAGGATCCTATGAGGCCCTCCCTTGCCTCCCAATGGGGGCAGAGAAATATCTCCCAGACTTTGGCAGCTTAGATGTGCCAAAGACTCAGAACCAGGTTGCAGGACAAGGTGTCTCTGCTCTGTGACCAGTGATTACCAACTATTCTCTGGTACCACTCAGCCGGTGCCCTACAGAAGGCATCTCAGGTGGAACCAAGAACCCCAGATTTGTGTGTTTGTGTGTGTGTGTGTTGGGGGAGGGGTGTCAAGGAAACTAATTCTAGATTGTAGTGACTTTGAGCAAACATCTTTCTCCTGAGCCTCAGTTTCCTCATCTGACAAAAGAATAACTTCCTTTTTTATTGAAGGTACGTATTAAAATAATGAATGTAAAGTACTCTGTAAACATTAGAAAACTATGTAAGTGAAAGAGGTCATTATTCCTGCCTCCTGTCTGCTCCATGAGTCATACCATCCAGGCAGGAAGGCTACTGTAAATATTAGAAAACTAAGGTTCTGAGAAAGAAAGGGACCCACCCAGAGTCACACAGCCAATCAGGGACAGGCTGGGCCTGGAACCAGCACACTTCAGATGATGTCAGAAAGTGGCAACTGCCTCCAGTCCCTGTGGAGACCAGTGCACCCAAGAGGCAATAGGGACAGTATTTATTTTTACCTTGAGATTTACTATTGGTAGGCTATATCGCTCTGCTTTCCTCACAATTGTGGAGAGATCTTGCAGATGGGTGGATAAGAATGCTCGGTAGGTGGACAACAGTCCTGCATCCCTGGCCTGCTGGAAGCACTGGAAATCAGCTCGAATGTCCCCAGAAAATGGCATGTTCAGAGCAATCAAATGCAGCTGCAAAAAAAGAAAAGAAAAGAAAAGAAAAGAAAAGAAAAGAGAGAGAGAGAGAGAGAGAGAGAGAGAGAGAGAGAGAGAGAGAGAGAGGAAGAATACAGTATGGTTAAAGAGTGAAAGGCAAACACCAAGTCCCATAACCATCTAATTTTCCTAATGAGATCGCAGACTTCTTAGAATGAGGGTGTCTTATTCATTCTCTACCTGGGGATCCTCAGGGTCCAATCTCTTCTCACTGTAGAGATTCTCTCTCAGGAATTCTACCACCCTGTCATCATTGCCATGGCTTGGCTAAAGACTCTAAGTCTAAATCTCCAGACCAGACCCACTGTGGTGTTTATATCTTCATATCCCTTTCCCTCCTGGAAGTCTCCACTCAGGTGTCCTTCAGGTGCCCAGGCTCACTAGGCCCACATGAACTCCTGCATGATGAAGACAGCATGATAGGGAACACGCTTCTGGTGTCTGCCAAACCCATCCCTTGTTCTTTGCTAAAATGTCCCCACAATTCTTGTTTTAAAAAGTGGTCTTAGGCCATGCATTCTTGGCTAGTTTTGATTTGTCTGGGAGTGGGCAATTGACCCAAGATGACCCATATAAACCGTCGCTCTCAAAACTCTGAATTGAGTCAGAAAGTATTGGGCTCTGCAGATGTAAGATCACATTGAACGAGGGCCAGGATCAGTGCATGGCCACCCAAAGTTGTGTGTAAGCTTTGAAGATATAACCTATGTCTATGTGTTGGGGTGGGGGATGGAAGGCAATTAGGAAGAAAGACCTTTGCAAAGCTTGATGATTTAGCCCATGCCCTTTGCAGACTGAATATCTCTTGAACTCTACTCCTTCAGCCAGACTGAAATGCTCAAAATTATGGAAATGTACAGCACCCTTGCCTCCTCTATTCCATATGCCCTCTGCCTGGAATTCCCACTCTCTTCCACACACCTCCACCTGGCTCTCTCCTGCTCTCAACTGCCGTTTAGGTCTTAGCTTAATAGGTCACCTCTTCTACAGAAGGCAGACTTCTTTGACCTTCCTTGCAAACCCCCCCAAACGACTTAGCACAATGTGCTGTAATTACCTATTTTTTTGATTGCCTCTCTTGCTAGTCTATTTGCACCTTGACAGTAGGAACTGTGGGCCCAGCATGGGACCTAGCACATAGCAAATACACATTCAGCATTTGCAGAGTAAGTGCATGAATTGTACTTACTTCAGGCTTCCCATAATTGACACTTGAAACAGGCATCAGTGGAGGTCGAAGCGGATGAGGCTATCATATAAAAAAAAAAAAAAAAAGAAAGAAAACAAACAGTTCTGACTATTTTCATTTCATTCAGTCTGTTCTTCAGAGGACATTGAGGTGCAAGTGCAAAGTTTCTGGAGAAGATACTTTAGTTTGTCATGGTCTTTGGGCCAGTCTTAATTGGGAATAAAAAAAATAATTCTCAGAAAGGAATGGAATATTCTCAGTCTTTAAGAAAGAGCACTAAGCCGATACTGGTTTGGCTCAGCGTATAGAGCATCGGCCTGCGGACTGAAAAGTCCCAGGTTCAATTCCGGTCAAGGGCATGTACCTTGGTTGTGGGCACATCCCCAGTAGGAGGTGTGCAAGAGGCAGCTGATCTATAATTCTCGCTCATCGATGTTTCTAACTTTCTATCCCTCTCTCTTCCTCTCTGTAAAAAATCAATAAAATATATATTCTTTTTTAAAAAAAGAGCACTGAGTCATGAGCAGAGGCCCATGTTTGACAGCTGACCCATTCCCTTAATAGAGCAAGTCACCTCTTCAGAGCCTGTTTCCTCATCTGCAAAATGGGATGATAGTACCTGTCTCGAAGGTGGCTGTAGGGTCAAGAAATGGACAATGTAAGTTGCCAATAAGTGTTAAATATTAAAGGGTTCTTTAAGATAACTTATGCCAATCATGATATCACAGATGAATAAACTGAGGCCAAGAGAGGGAAAGCCCCTTGCCCAGGAGGATTCAGCTATGACATGGACATCTCCAGCCTCTGGGTCCAGATCTCCTTCCTTTCGGTAGTGAGAACATTCCGTGGGCACCTGGTCATTCCTGGGCTTCCACCAGATGCCGAGCCATGCAGCACTGGCTGTCCAGAGTTTGGAGAGCTGGGTGTCAGGCACCAACGGGGACTCAGTAAATGCTGAGCAAGACGCAAGGCAGGAAAACCACTCACGTTGTTGCTGGAGAGCGCAGGGGGTGGAGGGCTGTCGGCAGGAATGGGGATCAGTTCTCCCAGCTTTAAGAAAAAACAGTACAGTGAAAATGAACCAACTGGAAACTGTTCACCTATTTTTAAAACAGAAAAAGAGCATTCACAGGAGTAGATGGTTACTTTTCAGGGGGTATTTGGAGGCAATTTATTTAAGAAAGTTGAAGAATTACCTGTAATTTTTTCCAACCATTTCTGACACGAATGAAAAACTCGGTGCTGTCCCTCAGGTAGATGAACGTCCCTTCTGTCACCAGATGTGCGTACTGCAGCATGTCAGCCATGCTGCTCAGGGCTGTAACCTGTCAGGCCGTTTAAAACCAAACACTGAGGTTATCCTGGGAGCAGTGGCACTCGGAAAGCTGGCCTCCTTGTCAATATAAACCCCCCCCCCCCCCCCGAATCAAGGAAAAAGCCTCTTGTGCCAGAGGGTGATACATAGCTTCCTCATAACCAAAGGACAATCTTTTTCATAAAACAAAAACATGAATTCCTTTGGAACACAACTCTAAGTTGCAATAGATGTATATGTTAAGAGAAAAGGCTGCAAGTATAAAGAATTTAAAAACTGGAGAGTTGCCTTTGTTGGGTGCTGGTATCAGCAAAGTGGTTGGTAAGCTTTGCCACTTCCATTTCTGTGAGCTGCTCAGTGGCACTGACGTGGCCACGTGTGTTGTCTCACCCTGCTGCATTCAGAACTTCAAATGTGTTTTCATTTGGAATAAGAAATGAAGCAAGCAAACAATTCTGCTTAGGCCTCGAATCTTTCTTCCGCACCAGGTAGTTACAATACTAACTACCTGGTAGAAAATGAGGCTCTGTCATTTCTCTGTCTAGAAAGCTGTCAAAGGGTTAAACCGTCATCTCGGCATATCCAAGAGCAGACAGAATGTCTGCAAATGTCTATCAAAAAGCACCAAGTCTCAAAGAAATATCAGCCAAGAGAGCTTTTACTTTTCATTTCCACTGAGCAGGATTATAAAAGATTAATTTTCACTTAGCCTTGAGGATAGTAACTGTGCCTCGAAATGGCTTAGAAATCCCCCAACGGCAGCAAATACCAACATTCCATTATCTGCTGGACTGTTCTTTCACTCGCAGCCCAATTTCCCAACTAAAAGCCTTCAAAGATCACAGAGCGTTCCTAGAACTCCTGACATCCTGGAGAGGTACCGCCCCCTGTTGGTGCATCATCAGAGCCCCTGGGCGCTCTGCCTGCTCCAGTGACCTGCAGCGCAATGATTGCACAAGAGACATCCTCTGGCGGAACAGAGGAGGCTAAGGAACCAGCACAGGGTCTGATGTGATATTGTTTACACTCTAGTGCTTCTGTTTTTGATGTCGTATGATTGGTTCTACTTAGTTTACTGAATTAAGGAATAAAAGGGCACAACTGAAATCATAGATGATTTTGTATTCAGAATCTTTTTCTTACAAAGTCATCTAAAGAGATAATGAATACCCTCTGTTTGTGGGATTGCACCAACACAACCGTCAGGTGTCATGGACACCTCATTCCAACATAATCGTGTCACAGCCCCTACATACTGTAGCCAAAGTGCTAAGTAAACCCATCGAAAGCAGAGGACGGATGCACACTGATCACTATACTGACCAGGTTTCTGGATCCGGGAAGCCCTGGCTGTCCTGGAGGACCAGGTGGGCCTGGCAGGGCCACAGCTATGACAAAGCAGAAGAGAGAAGTTAGAAAAAGTCACACTCTCTGGACAACACCTTGGTGTTAGCTGGTCATTAAGGGGAGCAGAACAAGCCCACCCACAGTGCTGCAAAGCATGGGCGCTTGCCTCTGGACCTTGGGCACTCTGGGCCCAGACCAGACTGAGCCACGTAGACTGGTTTGGGGAAGTTCTTGTTCCTCCTCCTTCCTCTTTTTACTGTCTAAAGTTTTACATATGTCTCCTTTTCCCCCTATTGACCTTCCCTGACCTCAGCCCTGTCTACCCTGGGCAAGCTGTCACTGCCCCAGTGTCTGTGTCCATTTGGGCTTCTTGATGATAGGCTGGATGAAGCCCTGCCCAGGACTTCTCCATTTTATACGTGAATACATCTTGGTTACTGTTGTTTGTATAAGTCAGTCTGGGTTGCATTTTCTGTCACTCACATTCAAAAACTACTGAACAGAGGAAGTGGGCTCTGAAAGAGGAAGAGAAGGTGCCAGGCTGCAGAAGGAGGGCAAATAGGTGAAGTGTCAGGAGCCTTGGGGCCAGAAGACTTGGCCGCAGGTCCCCGCTTTCAGCTGTGTGATCTTGGGGAAACAGCAAGCTCTCCCAACCCTAGTCTCTTTATCTGTGGAATGTAAGCAGGCATTTCTTCTTCACTGGGCTGCAATGAGAACTGAGAAAAATACAAACTAGACACATGCTTTGCAAATTGTACAGCATTCAATTTGCCAGAGGTTCTTGCTTCTGAAGAGTCACAGTGCACTTAATCAGATCAAGGCCATTGCCCTCTTCCCTAGAGAAATGCACTTGCACACACTCACGATTCTACATAAAATGTTAGTGGGATGACAGCTCCCTGGTGATCCTTGAATCCTCAAGGAGTTTATGGTTCTCCAACAAAACGGGCAAGCATAAAGAAATATTATGACAACTATTCTTTTCTTCTCTTTCTACCTTTCCAATCCCCATACTCCTCCCTCAAATCTGCAAGGCCCTTGCAGAGTTAAGGATGTTTTTACAAGACCCAGTAAAATTGCTGTATCGGGTTTTTCAGGTCATTGCCAGTAAAGTTTGCAGTTCTGACACAGGACTTGAAGATCCATACACAAGTGGTGAATGCCCAGTGGAAAGCAGGTAAGAGGACTGGGATTTAGCCATGCCTCTTACTAGTATTGCGACCTTGAGCAAATTTCTTAACCTCTCTGAATTTCAGTGTCTTCATGCATGGAATGAGTTTTATAGTAGTTTCCATTTCATCTCCCTCCCAAGGATGCTGTGAAAATTAAGTGGGATAATGAATCTGGGAGTGTTTTTTAAACTATGAATTGCTGTACATTATGTGAGTGACAATCTTTGTTCTATTGAGCAAGGAGTCCTGGAGCCCCAGATGTAGGGCTACTATGAACAACAGATTCTCTGCATCCTGTACTGTCCATGTAATGTCCCCCCTAGCGCCCCACCACCATCACCCTGCATCCTGACCTCCTATAATACCTGCTCATCACTCAAGACACTGATGGTTTTTCTATTCGGCACCTTCTTTCTTTGCAGGACCAGTACCTTCACCTTCTCTTGGGATCTTCCCCTTCACCTCTACAACCATTTGGTTCCAGAAGGAGCTGTCATATTCTCATGCAATCCTGCCTCCTGGCCACAGGTTGGGCACCTGGGTCCAAGTCAGGCCAATCAAAAGCCTTTCCCAAGACTTGCTCCGTCCCAAGACTTTTCAAACAAAAATTGAGGAGAAAGCCCAAAATCTCTAGCTGACAGTAGAAGCTGTAAGCTGTCAGTAACCTTATTTCCTTCCCACCACACAGAGGATGTGGTCTGTGGTGAAGAAGCATGAAGTGCGCATACAGAGAGGAGCTGAGACAAGAGACGCCAGAGGACCCTTGCAGGGGTTGGACCCCTGATTCTGGTTGGACCTGAGGTCCTGCTATACATCTGCCTCTCTCACACACCGACTGTTCGTCTCTCCTTCACAAGCTGTACGGTTCACTTCTGCTGGAACTAGTCTGAGTTAACCTTTCTGTCCCTTGTAGCCCAAAGACCCAAGACTCAGTCAAAGCCCCAGCCCCAGAGTCACCCATTATGTAAAGTTCTGCCTGGCACCCAGACACTGCAGATGTCTTCCTAGCTGTGCTTCTACCACACCTGGCTCATGCCAGCCCAAACCACAAAAAAACGATGCAGTCATGCTATTATTGCCACTACTATTATTTTTCCACCATGGACACAGCGAAAAGAACACAGGCTTTAGAGCTACACTGACCTGGGTCCTAACATGTTGGTGCCACTTATTAACTGTGTGATCTTGGAAAGGTTCCTAAATATCTCTGGCTCTCACTTTTCTCATCTGCTAGATGGGGATGCTGATACTTTCCTGGAAGGGCTTTGTGAGATTTTAATAAATTAATGTAGTGGAGTGACTAGCAGAGCTCCTGACATTTGGTAAATGGAGATTTTCTTCTGTTTCACCCATTTTCCATTTAAGGAAGTGAGGCACCAACAGGTGGAAGAATTTTTACAGAGAGAGTTAGAGTCAATGCTGGTCCTCAAGTTCAAGGCCCAGGGATAGGCAAAGCAGTCAAGAAGTTTCCACCCACACATGGAAAGACACCCAACACCAGTCATTTTTAGGGATATGCAAATCAGAACCACAGTGAGTATCACTTCACACACACTAGGATGACAAAAAAAAAAAATAATAATAATAACAAGCATTGATGAAGAGGAGATGTTGAAACGTTTTTAAAATCCTCATCCAAAGATATGTTTACTCTTTTGAAAGAGAGAGAGAGAGAGAGAGAGAGAGAGAGAGACAGAGACAGAGAGAGACAGAGAGAGAGACAGAGAGAGAGAGAGATGTGAGAGAGAAACATCCATTGGTTGCCTCATGTACATGCACTGGGATCAAATCTGCAACCTGGGAATGTTCCTTGACCAGGAATCAAACCTGCAACCTTTTGGTGCTCCAACTAACTGAGCCACCCAGCTAGGGCTGAAATGGAAACTTCTGTACACTGCTGGAGGGAATGCAAAATGGTGCAGCCACTTTGGAAAACACTGTGATAAGGTTCCTCAAAGAGTTAAATATGTATGACCCAACAATTCCACTCCTAGTTATATACCCAAGAGAGCTAAAAGCATACATCCACATAAAAACTTGTACACATATGTTCATGCAATACTATTCATAACAGTCAAAGAGTAGAAACAACTCAAATATCCATCAGCTTATGAATGGATAAACAAAACGTATCACTGGAATGTTAAGCAGCCATAAAAAGGAATGGAATTCTGGTACACACTGCAACGTGGACCCTTGAAAGCGCTGTGTTAAGTGAAAGAAGCGAAACACAAAAGGCCACATAATATGTGATTTCATTTATATGAAATGTCCAGAATAGGCAACTCTACAGTTATAGAAAGTATATCATGTTACCAGGTTTGGGGATGGGTGTAGAGGCGTGTTGCTAATTGGCACAGAGTTTCTTTTTGAGGTGATAAAACTGTACTGGAATTAGAGTGGAAATGGCTGCATAACCTTGTGAATATATGAATTGTACACGTTAAATGGGTGAATTTTATAAATTATCTCAATTTTTTTTAAAAAGGAAGGAAGAAAGGAAGGAAGGAAGGAAGGAAGGAAGGAAGGAAGGAAGGAAGGAAGGAAGCTAGTTCCATTCAGGAAGCAGTTCTTTGTCAGTGTAGTTGACATGCCATCAGATGGGGTGACCCTGAGCACAATAGCAGGGTACATGGGGCACCATCACAGTACTAACCTGCCCCTAGGATAGCTGGAGGTCCTGGTGGCCCTGGGGGTCCCGGTGGCCCAGGAGAACCAGGTCTTCCATAGCCAGGTGGCCCAGGGAGGCCAGGAACACCTGGGGGTCCCTGGGGCCCAACGATAGCCTCCCCTTTCTGACCCTGTGAAGGCAAGGGCAGAAGAACAGAAGAGAGAAAGCACCATTAATCACTAGGAATCCCCCTATTCTTTTTAAGGGACATTTGTAAGTAGTCAATAAATACTCTCTATTGTCATCATTATCCTTAATCTCGGGCACAACTCGAGTGGTGTACGCCCAGTCACTGTGCTGAATGACACTCCAAAGTACCCCAGAGAGCCCCAAACTAGAAGATCATCTAGTCTAGCCTTTTCAGTTCACAGATAAAGAAGCTGAGACCTAGACTTTACCAAAGCAAACGGAAGCAAATCTGGATGTGGAACCCTGGCCTCATGCCAAGTCCTGAGGGTCAGCGATCGCATCATACTCTGACTAGAGGCATAACTCGGTTTCCTCTCCTGTGACCTGGAGAAACGTGTCAGCCCAAGAAGATGAAGCCCATCTAAGAGCTTCCTCTCTGATGAGATTTCGAATGAATGAAATAGCCCCTCTGAAAAATGCCTCCCTCACCTCCCATTCTGTCTCCACTATCTGATGTGTTTGTTCACTATTAACATCTCTTCCTATTCAGCAGTTTCCCACCATTACCACGAACAAGGCAGCACAGTTAGAGAACTGGAAGTAACTTGAATGCTTATGGCCTTGGCTGACTCCCTGACCTCCGTGGGCCTCAGCCAAGGCCTCCTCAGTCAACAAGAGGCCGACGCCCAAGTCCCACCTCAGCCTGTGGCGAATGACTGACTCCTGACTCTCCAACTGCCCAGTCACATTGGGGGGTTTCAGGGAAAGTGGTGACTTGACAAGGAAGGTGGCGTGCAAGGGTCACTACTCACAGCCTGGCCTGGACTTCCTGGCCGGCCTGGAGGTCCTGACACAGAGAAGTCACTGATAGAGTCTCCTTTTTCTCCTTTAAACCCCCTGTCTCCGTTCTCTCCCTGGAAGCAGAGAGCATTCAAAGGACATTTAGTACGAGGAGGGTGAACCGGTCTCCGACATACACCTGAGAACGTGGAAACACAGGCCCAAATTTAGGAGACAAACACTCACCTTCATGCTGTTTATAAAATGTCTCAGGTACGCCGGGTCCATCGGAGGGCCTGGAAAAGAAATGCAATCACAATCTCAGAAATTTAAAAAGCAAAGGCTCCACGTTGACACCCATGATTATTTCCTAGTGGAGGTGACTCTGCATTGGTTTAGCTAACAGAGTGGGCACTGGGCCTGGAGGCAGAAACAGTCCTGGCCTGGACCCCCACCCCAGGCACTGTGGGATCTTGGCACATCCCTTTAGGCCTTGTTTGGCATAGGAAGCATGAACAATAGGAACTCCTGGTCTCTCCTGACAATGTTCCGTCTTGGGCATGTCACCCACGACTGGGTCTCTCTTGAACTCCGTGCAGCTTGCAGTCAGGGCGGTTATGTAATTAGTCTTACTTTCTGGCTCAGCTGGATTTCTCAGGGACAACAATCCAAGGCAAGATCTAGCCCAAGAGGTGAAATACCTGGCGGTCCCTGGGCCCCCTGGTCGCCTTTTTCTCCTTTGGAGCCGGGAAGACCCCAGGTTCCTTTTTCTCCTTTAACACCTGCAAAAAAATACACATACATAAAATAAAAAATAAAAAAAGTGGAAAGTTATCTTCATTTTATATAAAGCGTTTCTGAGACAAGTTTTTCAAATGGAGCCCCTTTCACAAAGTCCACACAATGAACAAAGGCCTATTAGAGTGTAAAATCTTCGCTGACTGATGGTGCAGACAGAGGTAGACGCAGCAGACCTTAAAAGGCTCGGTCTCGGGGAGACAGACACAGTGAAGGGTAATGGGCGGCAGGATGGGATGTGGCATCATCAAGATACCAGCAGTGCATCATGGGAGCCCAGCAGAAGCTAGTTAACTCACTCCCATAGCTTCACACACATGCCCGAGGCACACACATGCCTGCAGCCTCACCTCGTCTATGCCTGTGCCGCACGGTGGTGTCAGGGGCTTACAGAGCTGAGAGATGCCAACTGTGTGACCCCCCTACTCCCCGCAGGGCTTGTGAGGAGCACCCTTTCTGCAGAACTGGCTTCACTGGCAACCCCTTCCCCAACTCTTTAGAAGGGAGAGAGGCATGAGCTCCTACTGGGAGTTCAGCATTTAGGAAGAGAAGCGACCCCCCCAGCCTCGGTGAGTGGTGGACACTACATTGTTGAATTCCTGGTTCCCAAGAGGTCTGAGAGATCAACTGGCCTATGCCCTTGAACCTAGAGATGGGCATACAGCGTAGATGAAGTTGGGGCTTAGTTTTCCAGTGCGGGGGTGGGGGTAGGGGGGCAGGAAGAATGTATCAGGGGCAGGATGCTGCCAGCTGGGGGTCAGTGGGAGAGGCAATCACACCCGGCAATGCCTCACTGATTGGGGAGGGGGGCTGAGGCCAGGACCTGGGAGCCACCTCTGGATCACAGAGGGACCACAGACAGCGGCACAGCCCTGAGAAGAGGACAGCCAGCTCACCGCTGCCCATGTGGCCACTCATCGAGGGAGCAGTAGACCCGCAAGTAAGAGGGAGGACAACCGGCTCACTAGGGCCTGCATCCAGAAAAGTCTGCTCCCTCCTCCTCCCCCAGAGGAACCCTGAGAGGAAGGGGAAGCACTGGGGATCCGAGAAAGTAAATCCACATCCACCCCGTCCTCCCCAAGGCCCACCTTGAAGCAGGAGGAAGGGAAAGCCTGGAACTGGATCTGAGCAGGGAGTCTGAAAACAGCCTGGACTTTGTAACCAAACTTACAACTAACTGCAAAATGGGGCCAGCTATCACCAGGGAGACCACCACCTGTTGGGCTAAGGGTGACAGAGCCCAGCCAGAGGTCAGGATTGGAAAGAAAAAAAAGAAGGAAAAAAAAAGGCTTCCCCTGTTTAAGCTGCAAGTGTTCAGACTTCTCAATCAAAAGGGGGACACAGAGATATGTGGGGACAGAGGACCAGATTGAGCGCTCACCTGCGTGCTCAGTTTCCGGAACATTCCCACTCCCTGTGTGATAGATGAGCTCCCTCAGGCCTCAGACTTGCTAATCAAATGCTCAGAGCCAGGGCTTCTCACACTCTACTGTGCTGCGCCCCAGCAGAGTGCTTGTTAAAATGCAGCTTTGACTCAGCAGGTCTGCAGGGAGGTGGTGGGGTTCCTGCATTTCTAACAAGCTCCTAGGAGATGAAGATGCTGCTGGTCCAAGAACACTTTGCAGCAGAGGTTTTCCGGGCTCCCGTGGCCCTGCCCTGCACTAGCTCTTGATATGTTGCATCGTGGCAATTTTTATTTATTTTTTATTTATTTATTTTTAAAATATAATTTATTGATTTTGTACAGAGAGGAAAGGAGAGAGATACAGAGTTAGAAACATCGATGAGAGAGAGTCATCGATCAACTGCCTCTTGCACACCCTCCACTGGGGATGTGCCCACAACCAAGGTACATGCCTTTGACTGGAATCGAACCTGGGACCCTTCAGTCCCCAAGCCAACACTCTATCCATTGAGCCAAACCGGTTTCGGCAACATCGCAACAATTTTTAAAATACTCTCACCTAACAGTGCCTATGGGAGACTGATGGTGAAGACAGAGGTAGTGACAGGCATGGTGGAGGGTTCACCTGTCTCAGCCGGGTGCATGGGACAGCACCAAGCAAGGAGGAGGATTCAGTGGCTGCTTTATGAATAAACTAACAAATGGACAAATGGAGTGCTTCCCGCTAACTAGGAGGCTCAGCCAAGATGTGTAGGATAAACAGATGGGTGACAACACCAAACAGAAATGCCCCATCTCCCAGCCTTTGCTCAGCTGTGGGCCCCTCCTAACACATACTAGGCCAGCCAACTCTTCCTGACCACCGAGTCTATGCCCATGGGCACATAAAAACTACCCCAGCAGAGGCATGAGGGTCTGGAAATATCCCAGAGACATGTAAGGTGAAGGAGGGAGTGCGTACCATGAAAGGTGATGAGTTCTGAATTCCCAGGATGAGCGGCACCAACCTGGAGAGAGAAAGGCAAAGTCATACAGGTGAACTCTGTCCTGGTGTTTGCATGCACAGGTAGCCACTGTCCCCTGCTCTGGGGGAGTGTGTGGCAAGAGGAACAACGTCATGGAGTCAGGCCTCCTGGCCAAACAACTCTGCAAAGGGGAAGCCCGAAGATTTAAGACAATCAATGGTAGCAGGGTTGGTTTGGCCAACCGTGAGTATTGTTGGCGTTCTTTTTTTTAATCAATGGATTGATTCACATGAGAGGTCAAGCTAGTGATGTATCTAGCCATGACGCTGGAATGCCATTAGTTTGGCTACTGCATATGATCAGGAATGAGCACAATGAACAGGAACTGAGGGTAGTGGTAATCAATAACGGGAGGGTTATTATACTGCTCCAAGCATGAATCTAATATGGTTACGATAACAAAAGACACTGTTTTTTATTGGGCTGAAGAGACACTGTCAGCCTGTGTACCCTTAGAAGACCCTGTATGTTTCATTGCTGCACTTTGTTATCTAGAAGCTTCTGGTCACTTAAGGGTCTATGGGTAAGTGATACGAGACATCAAAGAGGACACTGATAGATAGAAAGGGCTCATGACAAAGACCAATCGTCTTCTCTGAGTTGCTTTCTGTGCAAAGCCTGCTCTTTACGACAGTGACCGTATGCTACTTACTGGCATCTTGCAGTGTGGCCGGGTTGGTATGGGGAAGACAGCCTGTGGGAAGCGAGGACAAGAGAAGTGAGGCCATCGGGACATTTGACTCGGGCTTAGGTCATTTTGGTACCAACTCTCCCCCCCACCCCAAGGTCTCTCCCCGCTTACTCCTTTGATGTTAATCACTGCTCCCGGCGGTCCAGGGGGGCCTGGAGGGCCAGGTAAGCCAGGTGGGCCCTGAGGAAGAAAGGCGGTTCCTGAGTTCAGGTGGTTGTGAGTGCAGAGGCAGCTGCAGGGTACTTTCCCCAGGTTTTGGGGACACAATGAGGAAAGCCAGCCCCGTCAACAGAGCATGTCTACATAGCTGACCTCATTGCATCTTCACAACAATCCATGGGGAAGATAGCAGAGCAATAAATATCATCTCTGGTTTACAGATGGATGGTGAGGTCCAGGGAGGAGAAGTGACCTGCTCAAGGCCACACAGCAACTTAGGGCAGAACTGAGATTCTGACTCCAAGGGCCATGCTCAGCTGATACTGAGTCCACCACCTCTCTATCAGCACATCCCTAGAGTGGAGCGACAAAGTCAGGTGGGGTGGGGGGAGAGGGTGGTCCTTCACGTGCTATGGCACTTCAGAGAATGCCTTATATCGTAAAATGCAAAAATAAATGCCAACCTCTTGCTGGGTAGCACAGTTATTTTCAAAGCCAGGTCATCCTGGCCTGAATACCATGCAGTGTTTGCTCCTCTAAGCCTGGGTCCCAAGCAGGATGCCCCAGCAGGAGGGCCGAGACTCCAACCCAGGCATGAGGCATCTAGCCCACTCTGAAGCTGCACTGATCACCCTAAGGGCAGGCATCAGTTCTGCTTTCCCTAGTAGCCCCGGCAGGCTTGATGGCTAGGAGTTACTTCCCCAATGCTTCAGTACCATTGTTTGTCTGGGTTTCTGGACGCACAGAGCAGAGGCAGAGTGGTGCAAACGGAAACAGCGACAGACTTAGGTTGGTGACCTTCAGTGAGTTACTTAACTTCCACAGGCCCCCGTTTCCTCTTGTGCAAAACAAGGACCCCACCTAGTGTCTCTTAGGACAGTTATTACCAAGACTAAGATAATATCCTTCAGAGCACCTGGTAATGTGTCTGGTACATAGTAGATGCTCAACGAACCTTGGCTTCCTTATTCTAGACCCTTGTTCCATGCTGATGCCTCCAGTGTCTGCCATCCTGTGAGGCCCCGCCTAAGTAGCTGATCTCGCTTTGTTATTCACTCCCTAGCATCTACGGAGCCCTTGGGGATGTGCAAAGCCCTGAGACCAGGTATCACTCAAATCAGAAGACCTGGGATTTGAAACCAGGTTTCCTGAGTATGTGCACTTGGTGGTCTCCCACCTCCCTCTGGGGTTTGGACCAGGAAGCTTATGCTCCATTTCACGAAGGGGCTTTGGTGGAAGGAACCCTGAGCGTGAGCTGGAGCCCAGAGCTAGGCTGGAGGACATTTGGAAGTGGCAGGGGAGGAAAAAGAAAAACTTTCCTGAATGTTATGCCCCCAGGTCTTGCTCCCTGGACCTGGCACTCTCTCCCCTGGACACTGGCCGAGGGGCTCTGGCCCCAGGGTGGTGTGGGGCTGGAGCGAGGGCTGTGGCACTCACCGGCATCATGACCCCGCGGTCTCCTTTGGCACCCTTGAAGCCATTCAGTCCTGGACGACCCTGAAACCCACAGAAGATGCCTTAGTAAAACCACTGCCCATCAGCCATCCTGGCCCACATGTCCTCTCTCACATCCAGTCCAATGGACACCGACACCTACAGGTCGTCCAGGGAGGCCAAATTCTCCTTTGTGTCCTGGCGGTCCTTTGGGCCCCTAGAGACAAAACAAATACCAACCAGATCAGAAAAGAACAGAAACTCAAGGGCCAGGGAGATGGTAAGATTTGGGGGGCACCCCACCTGCCATTGTGGGCAGTGGTGACAGTAAACCACCGACTGGAGGAAGGGGGGCAAGGAGCAAGTATGAGGTACCTACCTGCCTGGCTCCTTGCCGCCCAGCCTCTCTGTGCTCAGCTGGAAGCACATGCTCAACCCATCACTGCCTTGCACCTTCCTGTAAGCTCTACCCCACCCCAGACTCTGCATCCAACCCTCTCAGACAGTCAGGCTAATGAGGGAACCCAGGTAGCCAGACGCCGGCCAGCTCAAAACTCGGACCTTTGCCCTAGGCCTTATGTCCCAGGGCTCTCCATGGTCCCCATTGGAATAATGCAGCCCTGCCTTTCCCCTCATCATGGCCCAAACTGGTAACCCGTTCCAGTAACTGGTTTCTGCTTTGTTCCTACCTGTCCCTAGGACCAGAACCTTGGCCTGGCACCCCACTTCTCCTGCACCCCCTTTATTCCAGGGCTGGCTTTCTATGTCCACATGCTTCCAGAGCCACCGCCCTGTTCTAATCTCCTGCAGGAACCTTCATGCCTTCTGATATACGGGGTGCACGCAACGCACCACCTCTTCCCAGAACAAGCTCTACCTCCAGGCCACGCCTTCCCACTCCTGTAGCCAGTCTGCCCTGTCTCCCAGGAGAGTGACTGGCTTAAGCCTGGGGCCCATCTTCCTGTTGCCATTAACATAGACAAGTCATGCCCTGGAAAATAGCAATTACAGACTGAGTTGAAACAGGCCCTGCGTGTAAAGCACCCAGCCTAAGTTACTCTTAGGGAAAGAAAAGCAAGGACAGAGGAGTTAACAGGACATGGGACACCAGGTGGTATGTTCTAGTGCAGAGCCCCTCACACGTCCATGTGCATCGGGATCTTATAGAAATGCAGACCCTGTAGGTCTGGTGGGGCCTGAAGCTCTGCCTTTCTCCTGAGCTCCCAGCTGATGCTGGCGCAGCTGATCCAGGGGCCATGAGTAACAGGGCTCTAGTGAGTTTGTAAGGGAACTCTACGCTACCCTAGTCACAGGGGCCACAGTTGGCCCAAACGGCACCTTTATGTAAGTTAGAAGAAGAGGATACCCCTTAACTGTCTGTGCTTGGCAAGCTATGCATAAACTGGACTGTGGTGGGAACAACTTCCTTGGTCACCTGCTTGCTGCATACTGTGGCCAGCACTGCTAATAACTATAGGTGTTTCCCATAGTATTGGATGTTAGCTAAGTGGTTAATCATGACTCTCCAAGGCTGCCTTGGCCTTTAGCCTCTCCAGAGCGTCCATTCTGCCTGGACCAAGGCCTCAAAAGGTCCTGTGAAGAAATGCACTGTGGATGTTATGGGCTATTCATCAAGGACATGTGCCTGTTAGACTCATGAGGCTGGATCTGAGGCCTGTGGAGAAAGGACCTACATTGCTAGAGCTAGAGCAATGTAGGTCCTTTCTCCACAGGCCTCAGATCCAACTTCAACAACAACAACCTAGCCTAAAAGTCTCAGAAGAATGAAGGTATTGTAGATAGTGGGGTATAGTGGCCAAAACCTGGGTTCAGAGTCCAGCAGGCTGGGTTCAGATCCCTGTGTTGCTACTTATAAGCTGTGTGACAATGGGCAAATTACTTAACCTCCTTCACCTCCATTTCCTGCTCTATAAAACGGGGTTTCTGATCATCACCTCTGAAGGTGGTGAGGATGAAATAAATGAGCTGTGTGAAGCATCAGTATAGCATCTGACACACAGTGAATGTTCTAGCACACCTGAATTTTTTTTGTTTTTTGAGGAGGAGAAGAACAGGGAAGTTTAGTGTTCATCCTAGGGAACTGGTAGCTTACAAACTGTTCAGCAGCCCAAATGGATTATAGATTCCTGGAGTAGTAAGTAAAGAAAGGTGCTACCCTGTCATCTAGTACTAACTCAGTACTCTCCCTTACTGATGGGAAAAGGGAAGCCCAGACAGAGAAGAGGACTTGCTCAAGGCCTCACAGCAAATGAGCAGCAGATCCATATCCAGAACCCACAAAGCCCACAGCGACTTTCTGGCTTCCTTTGAGGGGTTCCCTGGGCAGTGGCAATCTTTAGCTGGCAAGACCTGTGACGTAACCGTGAGTGCTCACCACCATCCTGTTCTCCTCTCCTTCCTGGACACACGGCTAAGCCACCTTTCTGAGGCCCCACCCACCCAGACAACTGGGTTCTGGCCAGTAGAATGTGCTAGAAGTGATGTTCCTCATCTCCCATGATCTCTTTCCATCTCCTCAGCCTTGGCCTACCAGCTGGACTATGTCAGTGTGGCTCTGAATCCACAAGATGGCAGAGTCCCAGATCACAAGCATCCTGGGTCCCTGAGTCACTTCTTGGAGGGAACACGCCCAACTAGGAACAACCACAGTGGTTGTTTATGCAGCTGTTGTGTTAATCAACTGAGATCTTTATTTAATTGCAGTCAGCCTACCCTAACACACATATTTTGTCACATCCTTTTTATTTTCACAATTGGGACATCTCAGACTAATTAAACTAAAGAATGAGAATTGCCTCAAACCCCAGTCCAGACCCAGTGGAGAGACACTCTGGCTTACCATTGGTCCTGGGGCTCCGTGTGCTCCAGGTTCACCCTGAAATAGGGAGACACAGACCAGTCACTCAGAGGAACGTAGTTTGTGGCAGAAACAGAGGTGGGATTCCAAAGAGGATGGGTGCCTTCAGGGTCTAGTGACATAATTACCTTTTCCCCCCTCAGCCTTTCCAGAGGAACGTCTCCTGACAGGATGGCGCCTGCCTCTCCCTTCTCGCCCTGCAATTCAGAGAATTTCAATGAAGTTGGACTCCTCCTCGCTGCCTTATCCAGAGGCTCCCCAAGGCCTCTCAGTCCCACCGCCATAATTTCTGCTGCCTTCATCCCAGCCCTCCAACCCCACTGCTTGGCTCAGACATGACTCCCACAAAAGGCTGTAATAGCCTCCTAAGCAACTGACCGTTCTCTGCTCCATTCCCTCCCATCCATGCACTCTCACAGGCTGGGGTGCTGCTAGCCTTCCAGAGCTCACAGATCCACAGCCTCGCTCTCCAGCAACCAGCCCAACAAGGACCTCCCCACCTCTTGCTGCACAGCATCCCTGGGAACCTCTGGCTTGCTTTCCTAACATCTTGGCTCGAGATCTGTTCCCACCAAGAATCCTTATTCCTGTTAAAAGTTCTGAAATTGGGAAGGGGATGAAGGTATGGACACTAGAGGCCTCTCTCAACAAAGGGCCCTGTGTCTCCATGTGGAACTCAGGCTCCTGTGCAACTGGACCAGGCCAAGTTTCTCCGTTGTTAGGAAACGGGAGGTGGCAGGAACACAGTGTCCAGTCCTCATTTACTAAACCAGAAGGCTTCCAAGAAGATATGTGTCCCAAGCAAAGGCCAGGCAGATAAACCTTCTTTATCACTCCGAGGCTTTGGCCCCAGATTCCCATGCTGGCCCCTGGGGAGCTAGAGTGACCACGTCCAACTCTCCCTCCAACGGGCCAGAAGCAGCCAAAGCAAGCAGAGCAGCCTCTTCTCTCCGACCCCCAAGCCCACACCTGATATTAGGGTCTTACCACTCCGCAGGTGAGGAAAGGCAGTCCTGAGCACGCCAGCAGCAAGAAGAAGCAAGTACAAAAGCATTAGAGGCAGAGCAGGAGAAAGTGCGTTTTCTGTTAGGACGGGAGCAGAGCTGCCTGGGTGTCCAAGGTGGCAGGGGTTAGGGAAGGGTTCCTCGATCCATCTGACCATATCCCATAGAAGACGGAGTGTTTAAAGCAAGAGCTGCTATTCCTAAGCAGGCTGCCTTGGACCCATCCCATCTCCATAGCCCCTGGCAGCAACATATCCCAAGACATCACCCCATGTGGCACCAAGCTTATACTGCTTTCCCCTGCACAATGAACTCTCCACCTCTTGGAATTATGGTCCAAAGACACTGGAGGCTCCTCGTTGGGGCTGGTGTGGAATGGTGGTAGGAAGGAAGAGAGAGAGAAGCCTAACACTCCCTAGCCATCCCTCCTCTTAGGGGCACCCCACCTCCTCAACTCCCCAAGGAAGGCTCAGGAGTTGCTCCCACTGGCTTTCACGGACCTCCGTGACAGCAATGACCACACTTTCTATCAGCTCTTTGTATGTCTATTCCTCTTATCTTATTTCTATATCCCTAGTGCTCGATACAGGAATCTGGCTGGAATGGATAGAAGACGGGCGAGCTCATAAATGGATGGGTGAATAAATGCATCCACCCCAGGGTCCGTGCAATCTGTTTATGGACATCATTTCCACCCTCATCTATAAACACAACTGGGAAGCTAATTCTCAGAGGCACATGTGCAGGGTACAAAGGCCAGTGCAGTACTTTGGAAATTCCTAGGACATGTTCTGCGTATCAATATTTATTTCAAAGATTCCAGATCAAGACTGCCATTAATTACACATGCTTTCATCCAACAAGTCTTTCAATGTCATTGGTGTACCAGGCTGTGTGCTAAGAACTGGAACTACAGAAAAAGAACTGGCTGACGTCTGCCCTGAGGGAATGCACACTCTCATGGGAGTGCCCACCAGGCAGTTAAGACAAAGCACAGCACATGTGATGACACATTCAAGGGAGTGTTAGTTGAGTCTTTTCCCAAACTCGGATGAAAATCAATTTCTCCACCCACAACCCACCTTCACTCTGGAGGAACCTTGAGATTATGAAAGTTAACAGCTGGAAGAATGATTGCTAACAGAGAGGGAGCTTCCTTTGGGCGTGAGGAAAATGTCTGAAATCAGGCAGTGGTGATGGTTGCACAACCTTGTGACTATACTAAAAACATGAAGTTTACAATGTAAAGGGGTGGATTTTATGGCATGTGAATTATATTTCAAATTAAAAAAAAAAAAGTGAACCCCTACTTTCAGCCAATAGAAATATTTAGTGAATTCTGGAGCATGACCCCACCCAGACATCTGGGCCCCTCGTACCTGTTCTCCTTTGAGTCCTGGAAATCCAGGCACACCGGTGTCTCCTTTTGGTCCTCTAGGGCCCTAGAAGGAATCATTTGTTGTTTGTTAAGATTGAAGAGCTTTATCCAAACGAAAGTATTTTTTTCCAAAAAGTAGAAGAATTCTCCTGGTAGATATAAATCATGATATTTTCCTGGTCTAGAAATTGTGGTCTGGTGGAAAGAAGACAGCACTGAGCATTTGGAGGCCTGGCAGCCCTCTGCCTCTTTGAGCTTTGGGTTTCTCCATGGGGCACTATGGAAACAGCCCGTTCCTGCTGCCTCTGCCTCTGCTTGGGTCCTGCAGGCCATCCTGCAGCCCACCTCACCCCACCATTCAGCTTCCATGACTCCCCTCCCTGCTCTGGCTCCCTATTACCTGTGGGATGAAATCGCAGCTTGATACCCAAGCCCATCCCAGCCAGAATCTGGTCTTTCACTCTCCCTCCCCTACCCCCATCGCCCCTTAACACCGGAAGTGAGCCTTTTCCTCACCCTCTCCACACTCCCTACTGCCTTTGCACTTCTGCTCATGCCATTCCTCCTGCATGTAGAGCCAAATTCTGTACGCCCAAAGGTGACCTCTTCCCAACTCCTCAGATACTTACTATCTGTGACTATGACTTCTATGACTCCTATGACTTTTGTCCCCAAAGGCCTTTCAACACTATTGCTATCTGGCTTTTCAGAAGTCCCTGTCGTGTCTTCTGCGTTAAAGGGTGAGATACCCTGCAGAACACTTTCTACACAGAAATGCACTTTCACCTTCCGTGGTGGAAGCCCAAGAGTGTGGGGCACATGGATTTAATTACTGGATGTCTAGTCTATGCTTCCCATCTCCCAGCCCCGATTGCCACCATCCTCTCTCTGTAGGAACTTTCTCTATTGTATCGACTTGAAATGCTTGGCTTGCATAGGAAGCCAACATGCACAGGAAGCCAACCATTGGCTGGCTCTTGGGTAGAGAGATGAGTGACCCAACCCTCCATAAGATGGTTACAATGCAGTCGAGGAAGAAAAATAAGGATACAAATAACTGTAACTTGAGGCAGGAAAAGACCACAGCAAAGGTGAAAGTAAAGCCCCGTGGCACTGACCGGAGGGAAAGATCCCTCCAGGTGGGGGCCACCAGGAGAGGTTACATGAACAAGACGACACTAGAGCTTGGTCATGCAGATGGAGAAGAGCATTCCAGGTGGAAGGAATAGAATGAGCACAGCAAGGAGGCCCAGAGGGAAGACAGTTACTGTGGTACTTACTGGAAACCCTGGCAGCCCAGGCATGCCATCCGGGCCCTGTGATACAACAAAGACAAAGCAGGTGGTTGAGGGGCAGCATTCCAGAGCCAGCAGGAGTGCTGCATCTCCACAGCCCAGCCCTCTCAGCACCTCCCAAAGACTGAAGCATGTTCCCACACAGTGGGGCTCACGATCCATTTTTGCCCAAGAGGATGCTGAGGCCCAAGAGAGAATGGAACTGGACAGACACAGCTGGCCAGTGGCAGAGCCAGGAACTGTGCTCAGGTACCCAGGGCCCCTGCTCCCCAGAGCCAGAACTCCCTGCACTGTAGCTGGCTGCCTCCTTCTCCGTGAAATCGCTCAGCATCTGAAAGCTCTGGGGTGATGAATGCTTCACTGGACTGTGATAAACAGCCTCAGAAAACAGGTTCCTAAGCTGAGGAATGGGGCCAAAGGCTGTTCTGGGCTGTGTAAGGGTGGAAGTGGGGCATGTGAGTGAGACTCGGGTCTTTTCCCCAGGTAGGAGCGAAAATTTTAAAGGACCAGTCCTTTGGAAGGCCCTGGGATGCAGTGAGTTTGTGGTTCACTCCACATGGGGCCAGAGCTCTTCTTCCTGCCAGCCCAGATACCCATATACCTATTAAAGGCAGAATATACTATATAATAAAAGCGTAACATGCAAGTCGATTGAACAACCGAATGACCAGTGGATGGGAGGCAGGGCTGGTGAGCAGGTGGCGTCAGGCCAGCCAAGGTGCATGCCAGTGTGCAAAGGGAGGGGATAGTGATGGGGGGAGAGGGGCGTGGCAGCGATGTGGGGGGGCGTGCCCATTGGGTAGCTGCTCCCAGCCTGATCAGCCAGCCCGATTGTCTCCCACAGAACTGTCAGTTGGACATCCCCTTAGGGCTCTCAGACTGTGAGAGAGTGCAAGCTGGGCTGAGGGACCCCTCCTCTGAGCCTCTAGTATATGTATATGAATATGAATATGTCTATGTCTATGTCTATGTACTAGTTTATGTACACACACACACAGATATTCAGATGGCAACAAGTTTATCAATATACTGTATACACAGTGAGGTGGAAAAGTATGAGGGTGCTGGTTGGACTTGAGTCTTCCCAGGGAGGGAATTGCCCTGAGCAGTAAAATCCTGATCCTCCAATAGGGATGAAGGGGCCCTGTGGGCCTGGACTTGCTGAAAAGGAGAGGGGTTGGGGAGGAAGGAAGGTTCTAGGGGTGGGAGCAGGGCAATGCAGGCAGACAAGGCCCATCTTAGAATAGAGAGGCAGAATCTCCAATTTTAGTCTGTATTTTGCTTTAGTATCAACTCACTAACACCTAAACCTCCAATAGTCTGGGGAAAACCAAGACCTCTGTGAACTGACTTTTGCTTGTTAGCTCCTTTGCTTTAGGGTTTGATTATTGGGGTGCTCTGGATGATTTTAGTAGAAATCAGGGGAAGGAGGCCCCATTGGCTATAGCCCGAAAGAGACAGCATAATGACCTGCTAACAGGTCACTCAGCAGCAGGAGATACCAGCTCTAGAGGAACTTCCCAGATGTTTGCAGAGGGCACTGGATGGTGGGGTTCAGGCCACCCTCACTGGGGACTGCTGCAGTGGGTGGCCCCGCAGACATCTGGACTGCACAGCTGTGGAAGTATAAGCCTCAACCTCCGTGTCAGCTACACAGAGTGCCACAGTCTGCAAAGCAGCCTCTTATAAGCTGCCCCCAAACTAGTGAGGTGTTATCAGAGGCTCAGAGTGGTGTGTAGCAGAGATGGGGTTGGAACCCCAAGGCTTCTACACTAGGGCTCTCCCCTCTGTCCCCAGCTGCCATGAGCAGATGTGGAAGATGCAATGGGATTCATCACACAGGCTGTGGAGGAGGCTTCCTTCCTCTTAAGTCCTATTGTGCCATGGACCGAGCCCGTGGACTTGCAGAAAACTAATGTATAATAGCTGCTGTGTGTGTCCCTGGTGTCTCAAACGGGCCTGGGAAGACTAACGCGAGTCACATTCCCTCCTCTTGTGCCCGTTTGCCCATTAGCACAGATAGGCTTCTGTAATCTCTTCCTGTTCCATGAAATGAGATCTCGTAAATAAAAGCAGGTCCAAAGCACTGCACAGACGTCAATCGGGTTATTATCTGTGATCCTCTGATTTCCATCGCACACATTTGTGATGCCCGGGACTGGAAGCTTCCTCTGCACTGGACAACACTCCCTGCGTGATCAACCTAATGCTAATGCGATAGCAGCTTCTCAGAAATGCAAACTCCTTCTTTCACTCTACTTTATCAGTCTAGCTCTATGCTTCAGCTGCTAAAAGGGTTGCAAATCAACCCGACCTAGTTTCAACAGGGGTATCTGGGTAGGAACCTCGCTCTAGGGCAGCTGCGGATACATACCGGAGGCCCAGCGAGCTCGGGAATGTCGGAGAGGTTCATGGATCCATGGGTCATGTTGATCAGAGACTGGAAGGAGACAAACCAGACAATGAGACAGAGGGCGGCACATGTTCCACCATGTTCCTGGCAGCGAGGCTTTAATTAAACTCAGCCAGCATGGCAGAATGCGGGCAGGCTGGTGACACCCTAATCCCACTGCCGGTACACGCATCCCTCCCACTGCTTAGGAAACAGCCCGGAGCTGCCTTATCACTTTCCTCTTTCAGTTAATCTTAAAATTGCACAACACACGAATGCCTTCTCTCTTTTAAAAATTTACAGAAAGCTCGTAGTGCCATTTGTGTGTATATGCGTACGTGTGTGTCCATGTAGTTATTTTATTTTTAATTTTTCAGTTACAGTCGACATGCACTATTATATAATTTTAGGTGTACAACACAGTGATTAGATATTTATATAACTTATAAAGTGATCACCCCAATAAGTCTAGCACTTGCCTGGCACCATACATAGTTATTACAATGTTTTTGACTATATTCTCCATGCTGAATTGCCACATAGTTATTTTATACAATGGCATCAGGCTGTAAGTATTCCTCTTCACCTTGCTTCCCCCACCACCACCACCACTCAACCTTATAGCACGGAATTTTTTCCATGTGGAATTTGGGGGTATAGGCATTTTTAGTTTTAACAGATCGCCAAAGAGCTATTTAAAGGGGTCATATAATTTACATTTCCACAAAAGCAGGTGGGATTATCTATTTCATCCCACACTTGATATTTTAAATCATATAAATATAATACTTTTTTACTCTAGTCATTTTTTTCTAATTATTTGGGATGTTTTGACTTTCTGTCGATTACCATATAACGTAATTTCTCTCAGAAGGGCCACGATTTTTAACAAATGTGATATCCTAATAGTAAACGGACCGTGATCTGATCCAAGCCCACAGTCCAGTCACTCTCTACCCACTCTCATGCCGTGGACACACACATACACACACACGTAGTCTATTCTGTGTTTTGCCTCATAGTATCCCTGTCACCTGAATTCTGGAAGTCATGCCCTCTATGCTTATCTAGTAAAATCATCCTTAGCTTTTAAACCCCTGCACAAAGACACTTCCTCCAGAGAGTCTTCCTTGATTTATCATATCCCAAACCATCTTTCCTCCTTTGTGTCCCCTCTTATGTTCCTTTGCTTCTCTGTTAAAGCCATTCTCATGACTGCAACAACCAGCAGACAGTGTTCTAGAAGCACCAGGGGAGAGAATAGTGGTTCCAGGGTGGAAACAGACAGGAGGGGCATGCTGGCAGGAGGAAACTCCAATGCTAGATGCTGGCCAGGTGCCCCTTATATAACCAGCAACGCTGAAGTTGTGGACAATCTTTTTTTCCCTTAGCAAAGGCAGAAAACAGCCATGTTCTGACCTGGATGATACTCACACTAGGCAAGACCTCGATGCGCCCTGGTGGTCCCCTGGGCCCAGGAGGTCCCACAATGCTGGCTCCATCCATCCCTCTTTCACCCTGGATACAATGGCGAGAGCGGAGAAACAATTCACAGTGCATGAATAACGCTCCCAGATCAGGCGGGACAGTCCTCACACCCCACCTCAGACCTGTGACCTCACCTTGATTCCCGGGTCTCCTTTTTCTCCTTTGAGACCCTGGCAAAATAAAGAAACAAAGATCTTTGTGTGTTGTTGTTGTTGTTGTTGTTGTTTTTCTATTTATTTTGCTCACTCTCTATCTATCCTTGGATCTTGCCATCTCTCCATATTCACTAACATGAATTTTGTCTCAGGTAAGGGGAGCAAAAGATGAAGGGAAAATTCCCCATCCCAGAGTCACAAGGAATACCTCTCAGAGGGCGAGGAGACCAGTCCTCTCCCAGCACGGGAATGGGGCGGGGTGTGCGGCTCTTGACCCTGAGTCTCAGAGCCGGCATCTGGAGGATGGGGAAGGTGGACTTCTCCTGGGCTGAGTGCTCAGCTCTAGGTCCCATGTGATAAAGATAATGAGGTTCCTAAGGTTGGCCCTCTTAACAGCAGGTATCACAGCAGACAGACAACACTGCGGCCTCCCTGGGACTAGGTGCATCAGGGAGGGGCACCCTCAAGCACTGGCTTTGAAATGGGTCAAAGTATGAGTATTGAATTGGGCAGCAAGAAGGAGGCAGTAAAGCAGAGATGCTGAATGGCGAGGGACTGCAGAGAGGGTGGGAAAGATGAGAGAGAGAGAGAGAGAGAGAGAGAGAGAAACCAACCCCTCACAGGATGTTTTGTGCAAAACTTTTGTCCTGTTCCTCAAAGAAACACTTGGTCAAGAGCACCTAGGCTCCCATTGCACAGCTGGGAGTTGGAGGCACAGAGAGGGAGAGTTATTGAAAGTAGCAGAGCCAGTCCCCTCACTCCAGCATGACAGGCCTCCAAATGAAGTTTTCAAAAGCCCACCTTGCCCAGCCAGTGTGGCTCAATGGTTGAGCGTTGACCTATGAAACAGGAGGTCACAGTTTGATTCCTGCTCATTGCACATACCTGGGCTATGGGCTCGATCTCCAGTAGGGGGCATGCTGGAGGCAACCAATCAATGATTCTCTCTCATCATTGGTGTTTCTATCTCTCTCTCTCTCCCTCTCCATTCCTCTCTGAAATCAATAAAAAATATATTTTAAAAAGTATTTCAACCTACATTTGGTCCTGAGATTCTGGGTTCCTGCCGTGGCCTGATGTTTCCAGAGCCTTCGATATACTAAGGAAGGAAGAAGAATGAGAATATCAGGCCCAATTTCTGAGCACTTACTAGTGCCCAGTGTGGTTTGAGACTGGAGCTTGGTGGGAATCATTACAGCCCCTGCCCTCAAACTGGGGTTCAATCTACTGGCCTCCCCAGTAATCCTTAGGGCATATTGTTCTTCAACCACAGAGGGGGTGAACGTACCTCAAATTCAGGTTCCATTGTACACTCTGGGCCTGGGGGTCCTGGGGGTCCAGGAGGCCCTGGGGGTCCCATGATGCCAACTTGTCCATTTTTCCCTGGGGGTCCTGGTGAGCCTCTGTTGCCGGGGTCACCCTGTAGAGAAGACATCAGGCTGACTCCCCAGCCCTGGGTTATACACAGAAGGAACTACACAGACCCCGAGTCAGAAAACCATTCTTCAAGCTTAATTAGGCTGATGAACCTGACGGTTACTGCTTAATGGTACAGAAACAGCTGTCTGGCTAATTGACATTGTGCCCGATAGGCTGAGCACACGTGTGTACAAGGGCGAGGAAGGCGAAACACCGCAGGTGACTCGCTCCCTTCCAGCGCCAGCTGTCCTGTCTTCCCCTGCAGCCCCTCTGAGATGTTTCTCTCTGCCTCACGCACTGATGCCTTCAGTGCTCCAGCCCCACAGCCCGATCACAGTAAGCCCAGAGAAAGGGAAGGAAGGAGGGAAAACTTTTCTTTTCCTTTTTACCTTTTCACCGACTGAGCCATTAGGCCCTCTTGCTCCCTGGAAAACAAACAAACAAAACAGAGTCAACAGGTCCATTGATATCTCTTTAATGAAGTGTATTCAGAAGAGAATTTAGAACTATGGATGCTTAAGGCACAGGCTATTAAGACTCTTCCTCTCTAGGTTTGGGCCAATGTCTCAAAGCTGGGTGCAATATGAGAGTTGTCAGTTGCAGGCAAGCCATGCTGAAGGCTTGTGCGACCCATTTTTCACAATTAGCTCATCACCTACCTCAACAGTAAGGAGGAGTTGAAGTTGAACCATGGGAAATCACAGAGGAAGAATTCCCATGGGGAGCCGTCAGTGCACTGGGCGGTCCCTTTCCCCACCCCTCCCAGATGGAAGTGAAGGAGCACTTCCCCTGCTCGAAGCCAAAGGAAGGGGCTTCGAGAATTTGCTGCGTGTTCACTAGACTTTTGGAGATATGTAGAAGGAAGACTGACTCTATTTGGGAAAAAAAAAAAATCCAAAGACCAAAAGCTGGCTGACATGGCCCAAGAACGGGGGGTGAGGTGTTGCACTGAGCAGGTGACATGTCCACTCCCAGCAGACACTGTCCTACATTAGGGGACTGCAGTTGGGGTTCTCTCTGAGGACTCATGAGGAAACCTTGAAAGCCCCCTTAAGGGAAGGAGCCAGCAATTGTAGGACCCACAGAAGGCCCTGACACCTGATTATGATGCCCTTTGCCCCAGGCCCATTTCCCTGAGCTATTGTAGATTCCCTTTCTACACCCATCGCATAGAGATGGCGGAGTAGACAGTTCCAAAAGTCATGCTAAAAAATCAGAGGGAGAGTCACACTGAATCTGAAACAGCGAAGAATGCCAAAGGGAAAACAGGTGGAAAGCCAAGGCCAGAGGCTCCAGTCCCAGAGAGAAACCAGGGGAGAGAAGTGTCGGGCAAAGTGGTGCTGGAAGCCAGGAGGAGGGTGTGGCTCTGTCTGGGACATGGTTGAAATTCTGGAGCAAGGCACAGCCAAGGAGCCCTGCCCATCTCCCCTCGCCTCCCACTCCCACTGCCAGTCCAAGAACAATAGGAGTTATTTCCTGGAATCAAAGGATAGGGCAGAGGCCCCGGGGCTGGGGAACCCTGAGAAATCTAGGGGCACCCCAAACTCATAAGATCAGCTGCTGAGGCGTCTGCCTGATGGCACATCCTACCCCTCCCATCCCCTTCGTGAAACCCGGATGTCCCAACAGTAGCTACTGCCCAGCAACCCAACAATCTGTAAAAACAAGCACAGAAAACAGACCAAGAGGGAGTCTAACTTTGAAAGCAAACCCACAAACAAAAACACCACACATCTGAGGGAAGGCAACAATGCCAACAATGGAATGTATGCGCCTGAGGGGACAGAGTTAAGAACACAATCCAATCAGAGTTTAAAGGATCTGATATATAGTCTCAGGAGGATACTATGAAGTAAGAGTGGTTATGGAAAAGAATCAAGTAGAGATCTTGGAAATAAAAATATAAAACCGTTGGAAGAAAGAACAGGATAGAAGGCCTGAACAACAGAAGAGACACACCTGGAGAGAGAACGACATAAAGACTCAGGTGACAGAGGCCCTGTGTGTGGGGAGAGAGTATTTGGGCCCATTCCACCAGCTCGCAGATTCGGGGGCCACAGCTTTGGAATAGGAGCAGATCAGGTTGGGGACTGTCGAGCTCTTCCTATTCCATGAGCGGGTAGAGTGAAAAGTGGGAGCCCCAGGGAAAAGGGTCAGCAAAGACCTCAGACTCCCCAAATGGTGGCGGTAGAGCTGTACTCCATCGCTCTCTGAGAGAACCGTGCTAGGCTCTGCACTACCTTGGAATCCCAACAAGCATGACTGCAAGTCTAGTGGTGACGAGGAAATATGGCGAGATCAGTTACAACAGAAACCCGGGGACAGAACCAGGCGCAGGAAGGGGAGCTGTATATGGCAAAAGCATGGTTCAGGATGATTAGTCATATCAGCTCATTATGCTGACTGGATTTGCTAAGGTCGTTATTACATGTCCTCACACAGGAACATCAAAAAAACAATAAATTCATGGATTCATTTTTTTTTTTTCTGTTGTGGTTTCTGAGACAGCACAGCTTAGTGCCTGTGGGTGCCTGTTGGTTTTGCTCATGATGTTTGTTATAACGATAACTTCAACACACTACCGTGACAAGGGACTGCGGTTTATTTAGTTTCACGGAGGCCTGCAATCCTGATTTTGTACCAAACATGGCTGATGATGAAATAAGGTATAAATTGGGAACTCAGGCCAGTATCAGAATGTTTCACTGAAATGTGTCGTTACAAGCTCTAAACCCATGACTGGACCCTAGTCAAGAGCAGTACAGGGTCCGGAGCAGTAAGTACCCTCCCTGCTCTTTATTATACAAGACCCAGAGACTCGCTCAGAGCCACATTGGGATTACGTGGCAAAAGGTAAGGTAACGATGATTTACTGACACTTCTCTCACACTGTGGAAAAGATAATGCAGACACTGACATTTCAGCAGCTCAGTGAGATGACTCAAGGCCACTTTCTCGGAGCTTCACGTTCCTCAGCAATTCTGGGCACTGAAGAAAAGGTCAAAAGCACACACTCTTTTCTACCTGGTTGTCCTAGCATCTTTGGAGACTGAAGAAGACAATGAATGATTCAGATTATGAAAGAAATGCCCTAGCCAGTTTTGCTCAGTGGCTAGACCAGTGGTCCTCAACCTTTCTCATGCCGCGACCCTTTATTACAGTTCCTCATGTTGTGGTGACCCCCAACCATAAAATTATTTTCGTTGCTACTTCATAACTGTAATTTTGCTACTGGTGTGAATCATAATGTAAATATCTGTGTTTTTCCGATGGTCTTAGGCGACTCTGCTGGTAGTTCTCAACCTGTGGGTCACTGCTGTGGAGCTTCTGTTGTGGAAGAACTACTGCTGTAGAACCCTCCCCCTTCCTCTCCGAAATGTATTTTAAATATATACATTTAAATGTATTTTACATATATACATTTAGAAATGTATCATTGGATCTTTCGTTTGTTATATCCCTGAAATTATTTTCTTTAGCATGATTTGAATATTTTTATATCCAAACCATGCTCCTTGGTTTACCTTTTTTTGTTTGTTTTTTGGGTGGTTTTTTTTTTAAGGTAAACATCATGTGTAAGTTTCCCCTTGAGCTCTCTGAATGCAAATTTGCAAGTTCTTCTTGAGTTTGCTTCTGCTTTTACTTCACCAGGAAGCATCATATATATATATATATACACAGAGTGACAAAATTAGGACTCATAGCAAACTTCAGGGGGAAATGAGATTTGTCTTCAACAATTACATCTGAGCAAGCCTGCTGCTCTGGGCACGGCTGCTTCCCTGAGCAGCTGCTGAGCGCGCCCGCGATGTGTGTGCGCGGGTGTATGTGTGCGGATATGGGCGTGGGTATTTTTAAGTGCCAGACGAGTGTGTGGGGGTTTGGGCGGGGGTTGAGGGTGGAGGGAAGGAAGCTGGTAAGAACAGGGAAGATGAGTGTAGGTCTGTGATGTTTCCTGCAAAATTTAATTTCTTATGAAAAAGTCGGTACATGGAAAATGAGTTCTATAAAGCCTGGCAATTATTTCTTCTTTTTTTTTTCTGAGAAATGAGCTTTCCACGAAAATCCAGTTACTGATTCAATTAAAATAAACATACTTGAAAACTGACAGAAACTAGAAATGCAGCTCAGTGAGGGTGGTTGCATGGAGCAGTCAGGTAGAGCATACAGAAGCTCTTGCCCCGCTCCCAGCTGGGAGAGACCCTCCCTCTTCCAAACCCCAGAAAAACTCAAGGCTCGCCACTAGGAGGTGGTCTTATCTTTATTGCCCTCCTTGGTGGAACATAGCTGATCTCATCCACCAGCCCGGCCTGGGAACATTGGGGGAGCAGGAACCCCGCCCACAGAGAAGGAAGAGAGTGAAGGCAGGCAAGACTCTGGGAATGGAAGATGAAAATGGCGCCTGAAAGAAGTTGCATCCATTCATCCAAGGTGAACAAAGGCCTGTGCTAGATTTTAAGGATTCACAGACAATCCTGGGACTCTGTGTTTGTCAGGGAGAGGGTAGGAGCGGACAGATAAGCTAACAGCGGCAGTGTCATTGGCTAAGCGAGGTCCCAGCAGAATAAATACTGTGCCAATGGGAAGTGGAGGAAGGAGGGGTGCTTTCTGCTGGGAAGGAACCTGGGAGAGCTTCCCGGAGAACATATCTGAATGGGGCCATGGAGAACGAGGGAGGGAAAGACACCGGAAACAGAGAACACCATGGGCAAGGTCCAGGAGGCTGTGGGGAAGAGCATCAGTAAGGCTGGCTGGCTGCGGGCCATCTGAGGGCAGGTGGGGGGTGGAGGTCGGGAAGAGCCTTGAGGGTTCTGTACATAGTAACGGTTTTTTCTTGGGGGCAGTGGGGAGACAACGATATTTTCTCCTCGGAGAGGGCAGTGACGGAGGGGACCCCACTGTAGGAAATGGCCTGGGCAGGTGGGTGGGGCTAGGTTGCGGGTGGGAGCTTGGGGCACCAGTGAGGAGCCTGATGCCGCAGGAGAGATGACAGTGAGGCCAGGATGGACAGAGGGGCGAGAGAGTGGACATCAGATTGGCCAGTCCTGGCGCCGGACAGATCGTGGCCGAAAAGGGAGAGGAAGGGAGTCGGAGCGGACTCTGTTTCTGAGTCCGTGTAACTGGCACCTGGTAGTGCCCTTCACTGAAGCTGGGGATGTGCAGGAGTGGGCAGGGCAGATGCTGAGTTCAGGACTGGCATAAAGATCCCCAGGTGGCGACAGCAGCAGAGAGAACCAGGAAGGGGTGAGAGAGGGTCTTTCACAGAAGATACAAGGTCAGATTTAGAGGTCAGAGAGGGGCGGTGTGGGCCTGGTGGCTTCCACCTTCCTCTTACCTTCTCCCCTTTTGTCCCAGGGCGGCCAGAGGCTCCATCAAGTCCAGGCTGTCCCCTGGGGCCCTGGAAAACATCAGTGACAATCAACCTACAACATCATCCTCAAAAAGAATCAAATACAGAGTCTTCCTACAAAAGGAGGCCAGGGTTGGGAGGACCCCGCAGGTGAGGCTGGTGGCTCCAGAGCCTGTGCCTGGTCTACAGCGGGATGCCTGCCTGGCCAGCGGAGGATGAGCACCTACGGACGAGTGTCCAGTGTTGGCTTCTGCGGAGGAATCAGGGGCAGGGTGGGACTAGATGCTCTCTGAGGGGCTCCCACCCCAGGCCTTTACTTCAAGGATCCCACGTGAGTCTGCGTTTCCTACACTGACTAACTAAAGCAGCAAAACAATGTGTAGGATGATGCTTTTCTTAGCTGCTGCTTCTTGTGAGTCTGAGCAGTGACTTGCGGAGGACTTTTGTTTACAAACATTAGCTGGCTGCTCACTCCCCGTGGGGAGCTTAGAGAGCATGGGGGCCTGCCGTCTGCATGCCCCTCCCTGGCTGAGGAAGACCTGTGACCACGGGGAGGGGAGGGGAGGGGACTTCAGCAGCTTACCCGGGGCCCAGGTTCACCGGCAGCTCCATCCTCTCCAGGAGATCCAGGGGGGCCCATGAACACATCTGTTCCCGGTTTCCCTGGAGTCCCAGGTAAGCCAGGTGGGCCTGGGGGGCCCGGGGGGCCCTGAAACATAGGCAGTCTGTTAAGAAACATCAGAGGAGCCGAGACCGGTTTGGCTCAGTGGATAGAGCGTTGGCCTGCGGAATGAAAGGTCCCAGGTTCGATTCTGGTCAAGGGCATGTACCTTGGTTGCGGGCACATCCCCAGTAGGGGATGTGCAAGAGGCAGCTGATAGATGATTCTCTCTCATCGATGTTTCTAACTCTCTATCCCTCTCTCTTCCTCTCTGTGAAAAATCAATAAAATATATATTAAAAAAAGAAAAAAAGAAACATCAGAGGAGGGGATACAGGTGTACTGAGTACATACGTTCTCTCCATTCTCTCCATGGCTTACAACCACCCTACCAGTAGAGACGGGTGTGCCCACTTAGCAGGTGAGGAAACTGAGGCTCAGGGAGAGGATATCACTTGCTGAGGGGGTCACACACAGAGCTATTTTGTAGAAGAGCTGGGATTTGAACCCAGGTCTTGCTGAGCCCATTTTCTCATGCTTTCTCCTCAGGTGTATGCACACAATGGAAACCCAAATCACTGGAATCCTCACTTTCTGGTTAACCAAGAGGTCAGTCACTTTTCTGGTTCACCAAGAGGTCAGTCACACACTGCCTGTTGTGCGAGCAGCTCTTGTTGTTAAAAAGCCTCCTGCGATATGCTATCTCTTTAGCCTCTGTCTGGGCCGGCCGACCCCAACAGCCTGGAAGATCCCTGCAGCAAATCCTAAACCCTTACCACCCACGGCGCGTGGGCAGAGCTGAGTGGAGCCATCTGTGAGGGGATTCGGCACAGGAGCCCCAAGGAAGAGAGGGCGCTGAGGTTGAGGGCAGGGACAATGGTGTCCACTGTGGCTGTTAAAGGAAGGTGCTCCCTGGGGGGGCAACTTAGGGACAGACCAGTGGGGGGCCCAGCCTTGGGCTGGAGGCCAGAGAAGAGGAGTGGAGAGGAGAGAGGGGGTAGCCTCTGGGTAGGGAGGGTTTCAAGGAGAGTCTGGAAGCCAAAATGAGAAACTAGGGGAAAGGCCAGAAGGTCTCTAATGTAGAGGTGGGGTGGGGGCAGAGCCAATCTGTGGAGGTGACGGTCATGGACACACCTGCTGGAGAAGGCTGCCAGGGGAAGGAGGCAGGTGGAGAGGTGGGGTTCTGAATGTAAACCTAGGCTCTCACTCACTGAACAAAACTTTCGACGTGGAGAAATGTATACAAAGATATACAATATCATGAACTCCTGGGAGCCCACCGCCAGCCTCAACAATTATTGATGGTGGCCAATCTGTTCCGTCTGGTGTCTGCCCTCTCTCCCCTACCCCTCCCTCCCTCCCTCGGGAAGGCCACCCAGGCCGTGTCACCCCTCACACTCACTCTTAGCAGCTCCTCACTGGGCCCCAGGTCACCAGAGCCTGAGCCGACTTCTGGGTCCCAGCCCAGGCCAGAGCCCTCCGCCTCTGCTCCCACCTGCGGAGAAAAAAACTCTCACAACTTTGTTTCCACTGCCACTCCCCAAGGACAGCCATGTCTCCGAATGTTTTCCCACGTTCTGAAGCTCTGTTAACTTCTGCACCTGCCTTTCCTTCCAGCCCTTTCTCCCACTCTGCAGCTACCCTCCTCCTCACCACCTCCCAGCTGTGCAGTAACACGCAACTGTCCTCAAACATACTACATGCTTTCACATCTTCGCCCCAACCTCCTTTCTTGCTTTTCAAATCCCTACTCATTCTCCAAGGCCCATTTAGTGACCACTCCCCCACCCCATTTTCAGACAGAATTTCTCTCTCTCCTGTGTTGAGGTCTCGATTTCATGCCAGAACCGCCTGACTTGAAGTTCAGTTGTGTGTGGTCCATCAGCCACTCTAGACTAGGACTCCTCTGGGTCAGCCCAATCCCAAGACACCTCTGGATGCCCAGTGAGTTCTGGCACCAAGAAAGCATTCAGCACATACCTGTTGAATGCCTTCAGTTCCTCCAAAAAACAAAATAAAATCCCCTAAACGCCCTTCTGGTATCTACCTAACATCTAGCCGCTGCTATGTCACCAGCACCCAGCAGATAATAAGTTCTATTTGCCAAACTACCTGAGAAATGGAATGACCTCATGGGTACCACTGTGGAATTTGCTGTTCATCCCACAGTGGTACCCATGAGGTCATTCCACTTCTCAGGTGGAATGTCTGATCATGTCTGAAAAGGGGTGGTTATGGACAGTGCAGGAAGCAAAAGTAGAAAGCCCAAACACTAAAACTCATCTCTACTCAACTGCTGGGAGCTCTGACTTTGAGCAAACCCTTAACTCTCTCTGAGCCTCATTTGCTCAGTAACTCGATATAACTTATTTGTTGAGCATATACTATCGGGTCTAGTAATAATTAATGTCGATTTTTAACATTCGTTTAAAATCTTGCTTGGCGTTGACTTGTATTGACATAACCTTCAAACACGTGGTATCTACAGAACGTGTGAAGTGCAATTAACAAGTTTTGCTTGAAAAAGTTTGTGTTTGGTTTGGTTTTTGTTGCAAAACTAGGGCTAAGAAGATGGCGGATGAAGAGCATATTCGGCACTGCATGCTAAGTTCCAATTAGGAAGAAAAGCAAGTGAGGCTGCAAAAAACATCTGTAGTGCTCTTGGTCAAGATGCAGTTAGCGCCAGAAAATGCCAGCGTTGGTTTGAGAAATTTCGCGAGGGAAATTTTTCGTTAGATGACAAGAGTGGTCGAGGCCGTGTGTCCAATTTTGATCAAGAAGCTCTTCAAGCTCTTTTGGTGCAAAATCCTAAAATTACCCAACAAGAGCTTGCGACAACTTTAAATTGTTCACAAAAAACAATTTCCAATCAATTGCGTGCACTTGGCAAAGTCCAAAAGTTTGGAAAATGGGTTCCTCATGAGTTGACCAACAACAACCGTAATCAAAGAGTCACAATTTGCAGTTCGCTCCTCTCTCGTCAAAACCATTTGCCGTTTTTAGAGCAAATTGTTACCGGAGATGAAGAATGGGTGCTGTATGTTATTGATAATTTGAAAAGGCGGCCTCAATGCTTGGACAAAAATGAGGCTCCGCAGCCCACGCCAAAACCTGACTTGCATGCGAAAAAAGTGATGTTGTGTGTTTGGTGGAATTTTAAAGGAATTCTTCATTATGAACTTTTACCATCTAACCAAACCATTACAAGTGCAGTGTATAGTGCCCAATTGGAAAGGTTAGCCCAAGCTTTAAGAGAAAAAGAACCCACGCTGATTAATCGGAAGGGCGTAATTCTTCACCACGATAACGCATGACCGCATACTGCAAGAATCACTGCTGAAAAACTGCGCCAGTTGGAATGGGAAGTTCTCCCTCAACCTGCATATTCTCCTGATATTGCCCCTTCCGATTACCATTTGTTTCGTTCTTTGCAAAACTTTCTTCTTGGAAAAAAATTTAATAATGAAGAATGCCTCAAAAATGCATTGACCGAATTTTTTGCATCAAAATCACAAGAATTTTACAACAGAGGGATTAAAATGCTTCCTGAGCGTTGGGCACAAGAAGTAGAAAACAATGGCAACTGCATTGTTGATTAAATTTTGTTGTATTGTTTGAATAAATTTGATTTAAAAAAGTATTAGAAAACGACATTAATTATTACTAGACCTAATATATGCCAGGTAAAGTTTCCCATTTATTAACTTATGTCATCCTCACAACAATTCAAGGTATAGGTTCTATGATACCCACTTTATTCTTGAGCAAATACAGAGAGAGAAAGAGAGAGAGAGAGAGAGAGAGAGAGAGAGAGAGAGAGAGAGAGAGAGAGAGGAAATTTGCTACAGTTTTGTTGCACAACTAGTCTTAGATGCCTCTGTCACTCACTGCCTTGGGTAACAAAAGATTTAAAATTATCCTAAAGACTTTCCAGAGTGGATGCTCTCTTGACTGTCCTTAGCGTGCCTTTAAACCACATGTGTCAAACACAAGGCCCGCGGGCCAAATCCGTCCCGCCAGGCCTTGCAATGTGGCCCGCCCCGCGCTGTCATCACTGCACTCCGCTGCGTTTCCATCACAATGACAGTTTATGACTGTTCAGTAAACCATTTGGCCCGCGATTTAGGCTGGATTTTAGATTTTGGCCCCTTCTCTGATTGAGTTCGACACCCCTACTTTAAACCATTTGCTCAGGAATTAGGGCATCCATTTCCATGCATTGCAGACTCCTGCACTCAAGGGTGATCTCTCTCCATTAGTAATATGCCAGGATGAAGTACTGCGTGTTTGTGTCTCCTTTTCTCCTTTCTCTCTCACCCTCGCAAGTACCCAACCCACATTCCCACCCCCACCCACACACACATACCTCTCTTCTGAGAGCTTTCACAGATCCCACTGGAAAAGTCATAAGGGGATGGTGGAAACAACTCCCGTGGTTCTACCACTCTGCGGCAACAACTGCTCACATTTAGGGAGGGTATTTTCTTCCAGGGTTTTTGCGTGTGTCTATTTTTAAATAGTTAAGACCACACAATATGCTCAAGTTTATAACCAGCTTTTTTCCCACTTAACATTGTGTGGTATTTTCCCCCATCATAAAGTACTCTGAATAAATATAATTTTAATAGCTGCATATGTTCTGTTAGTTGAATATATTTTAATTCAACTAACCACGGTTAGGTAGGTAAACCATGTCCGATTTTTTTTTTTCTACTACAGACAACACACTGAAATCCTTGCACGTATCAAATGCTCCTTGACAATGGGTTCTTAGAAGTTTCTGGGTCAACAGTATGCAGTTTCATGGTTGCTAATATGTGCTGACAAGCTACTTCCCAGAAGGAATAAACCCAGCAGCCCTCCCACCAGCACAGCTGACCTCCCCACGCCCTCCCCACGTGCCAACTGCCCAAAGCAGAAAACACGGGGGCCTAAGGACAACTGACCCAGTTTCGTCAACATCTCAATGGCTCAGAGGAGAAGGGGGAAGGGGGAGGAGACAACCACAGTCGAAAAGAGACTTAAGAGACACGGCAACCGAGCGTCACACGTAGACCTTGTGTGGATCCAAGTTCAAACAAACGTCAGTAAGAAGATTTTTTTAAACTCTGGTATCAGACCACAGGAAAGAACCACTGTGAAATGGATAAGGGCATTGTGGGTAAGGAAAAAGCAAAAGGTCCAGATCAACTTATTAGCAATACACATGGACAGGTTGGTGAGTTAAATGAGACGATGTTTGGTATTTGTTTTCAAATACTCCAGCCTCCTCTCTGCTCTGCTCCAAAAGGTGGGGGTAGGAGGTGGAACGCATGAAGCACCACTGGTGCAATGACTGGACCTCCCAGCCACCCTCGTTCACAGGCAGAGAATGAGGCCCAAAGAAAAGAAAGGATGTGCGTGAGGTCACACAGGTGCAGCCAGAAACTCCTATTGGGAAGGGCGTGATCCCCTCCCCGAGCACACATCTTTGATGCTTCCATTCCCTCTGTAGCCCCAGCCCCAGGACCCATCTTTCAGGCTCCCCACCACCAACGTGGGGATCTCCTGACATTGGAGATGGGCCTTTGCATCTTTCGATGAGCTCTGCCTGTCAGAAAGCGCTCAATGCATGGGACATGAAGCCAGGTGCCCTAGATTTGTCACTCTTGCTTTTTCCTCTACAAACTTCCGCTTCCTTGTGTGTTCCCCAGGCTGTAGGCCCCTTGAGAGCCCAAACTGGGCGGTTTGCAAACCAGAAGGAAAACGCACCTGAGAAAGCCAGGGACAGGCTCCTCCCAGGATTTCAGTCTTTCCTGCTCTCCTCTGTAAACTTTCCCGCCTCTGCACCACTTACCGATGCCGTGACCGGAGGGACCGCTGTGGCAGGAGTGACCGTGGGTATGGGCAGCGGGCGCCCCTCGGGGGGAACGCTGCCCGGCTCCTCCGCGCCAGCCCCGGACAGGGGCTCCTCCGTGGTGGCTGCTGCCAAATCGTCCTCACTAGGACCCTGGAAGCGAAACCCACACAAGGAATCACTGTGGTGTGACGGGCACACTGCTGCCTGCCCGGGAGTTTGGGTGACTGTCATTTCTGTGGGACTAGCCCAACTTTAAAACCCTTTCTTACCGCCCCCTGTCATTCTCCCTGGCACATCCACAGAAGCACACACTCCCCTTCTGAAGGACGCATCTCCGCTAAGCCCCCGTGCCCAGTGATGGGGCAGCCACTGCCCCCTCCTCCCAGCTACCCCTTCCTGCTTTGGCCATTCGCCCTGAGAGGGTTCTTCCTGGACAAGCTAAGAGGCAGCAGGGTCGAGACAGATATCTGCTCCCCTGACGCCTCTGCCATGCTCCCTCCACGGAAGGAGCTGAAGTTAGTGCCTCCCCCCGCCACCCATTGGCGCTCTGAGAAGCTGAAGGGGCATTTGTGGCTGGGAAGGAGGTAGCTGCTCCTGTCTCAGAATGCTGCCCTCTCTGCCCCCTGTGAGACACAGAGAATCCGGGTGGGGGAGGCACTTACAAACGTGACTGCTTGCTCAGGGGCCGCTGTGCGTGTGCCAGGAGGGGGGCCACTGGTGGGAACCTTGCGGGCTTCTTCCTCTTCCTCATCCTCGCAGGTGCTAAGGGGCATTTCTGCTGCTGTTGTCAAACTCCCTTCACTGACCGGGCCCTGAAACAAAACTGGCGTGAGGGACCTGCCACCAGGTCCTCGCCTCTGGATGGTGGTGTGTGACCGCAGGGAGAACACTGCCAGGCCATCAGGGAACTGGCCTGGCCACAGCGCCCCTTCCCTTGCTCATCTAAGACCTCTCAGATGGTCCCTTCCATCTCCCAGGGTCCGCTCCAGGGGATCGAGCCTGCACATCTTCACTCACTGGACAGTCACCACCTCCACAGCCCTGCTGGGTAAGTTCGAGTTTTTACCGAGTCAAGGCTTGGCAGAACGGGGACCGGGTGCCTAGCAGTTTCTCCTTGTGATCAGGGCTTTACCTTAGAGAAGTGGGGCGGGGAGTGAGGGATGAGGGTCGAGAGAGGAAGGAGAAGAGGAAAGAAAAGAAGGTGACGGTGATCCTTTGGTTCATTAAAATCGGACACGTAACTGCCCAGGGGTGAGCAGACTGTCAGGTGGCGAGGACGTAGCCTCCCCACTGTAGAGTTTCAAGGCTGAGGTTAGGCCAGAGGTGAAAGGCTGGGAGCAAATTTGCAGACTGATTTCAAAGGCCAGTGCTGTGGCTGTGTGATGGCCTGACATCTCTCTCTCATAACCCCCTCAGCAAATACGCATCAAGTACCTGCCATGTGCAGGGATGAAAACAGACCGATGAAAGAGATGTATATAATCCTGCCTCTTGCAGCCTGGGAGTGAGCCAGAAATGAACTAGTCACCAAGTTCATTGTTCATTAGAGTGATGATGAGATCTTCCGAGAAGTGCAGGTATGAACGTGTCTGTGGGGAGACTTCACAAATCTGGGCAGGCATTTCCCAGACAAAGTGGTGTTTAAGCTGAACTCTGATGGATAAGCAGGCACTAAGGAGAGGGGAGGGAGGAAAAGGTTCCGGGCAGAGAGGAGATGGTATGGGAAGATTACGAGGCAAGAGGGGGCCGTGGAAAAGCTATAAGGTCAGCAAGGCTGAATAAGGCTGAGAGCTGGGAAGGGTGGCGTCCAAGACCTTGTCTGTGAGGCTGGCCAGGCCACACCCTGCTAGCCTTGTAGGTCAGGTCGGTAGTGGTGTCTGCAGGTCGGCTGCCCCCACCAGGAGGAATCAGGGAGGCTGATGGAGCTGGCCAGGCTGGAGCCTCAGCCATTGCCTGGGTGGGAACTGGGGATCTGACACTGGAGAAGGGTTGAAGGGTAGGTCCACCATGTGTTTAGGTAAAAAAAAAATCTTGTGGTTGATGGGATGTTGGAGGGAAGAAAGAGGGAAGAGGGTCTGGATTAGGATTGGATACGATGCTCCCATTCATTTGAGCTGGGAACTCAGGAGGAGCAGAATGAGTTTGGGTTTAAGTCTGCAGAGCTTGAAGAATTTGCAGGATACTCATTCTAGGGACATTCTAGGGATGTCCTTATGTCCTGACTTTAGGAGCTGGGATCAGAGTCCCCATGACCCCCAAGGAGACGGCTGAGAAGTCCTGGCTGTGCTCTTGTACCCTGTGGGGCCTGCCTGTACCCAACCCTCTACCACCCCTTCACAGCCTGTATGCATGCTCAGAAACAGGCCATGGCTGAGCCCTGTCACCTCTCCTACTCAGGGCCCAGCAGGACCTGACCTCTGCTGGTGGAGGTGGTGACCCTGTACCAGCTCTGGGACTCATCCCCATGTCCCTGACTCACCCCCCCAGCTGGCTCCCCAAGGACCTGCAGAGGCTTCACTACACACCCCCTCAGGAGGGAGTGTCTGGTCAGGAAGGTGCCCCCAACCCATTCAGGCTCCTCTGGATTTGCTGAACAGAATGAAGACTGGCCTTTTGAGAGCGCAAGGTCTGCTCCCAGCCATGACCTCAACTTTCCAGCCCCTTACCAGACTGACCCCTTCCTCAGGCTCCTGCGTGGACATGAAGAGGGCTGGTTCCCCGGTGGCCACTGTGCTGGCCTGTGCGTCCCCGTCAGTGCTGGTGGGCATCTCGGCCTCCTCCCCTGATATCTCTGCCGAGCCTTCTTCAGTCTCTGGACTCTGAAGAGAAGACACCACGGGGACCAGGTCAGTGATCCACAGCCTTCCGGCTGGAGGGAGCAGACAGCCAGGACCCCTCCTGCACGCGAGTCCTGTCGCTTCAAAGCATTTGCACATCCCAGACCTCACCTGATACCACTGCCCTGACTGGGGCACCCACACAGAAACCTTGACCTGCACACCACCCAAGGTGTGAGCACCCTGGCCAGTATGGTGCCTGGGTGTCCATCCCACTCCTCCCTGCCAACCTCAGTGGCTGGCACTCATCAGCTGCCATCTACCTTCCACTACCCCTGAGAGTGAAGCTTCCACCGAGCGCCCAAATCGTAGTGCTGGGACGAAACCCAGTCCCGGATGCACTGCTTCTGAGGGGGAGAGGCTCTCTGGCCTCACTGACCACTTGTTCTCCTCACTCTTCTGGCCCAGTGCCCTCTGCTTTCCATCCCTCATTATCCTCCCCAAGGTCATCAATAGTCCCTCTGGCAGACCCAGCTCATGCCCAGCTCTCCTATCCTTTACTCAGTGGGAATCCTGGCAGGGTCTCACATTGTTAACCAAACCCAGAGCGAGCCAACACCAGCTACCAACCATACTCTGCCTCCAGGCTTGCTTCCCCCATCCTTTCTCCACTCGGGCTCAGGTGATCTTTCTAAAACCTACTCTGACTACATCACCTCCTTCTATAATGCTCTCAGCAACTTTCCATTTCTTCAGAACATGCCTGGGCAGACTCAGAGGCCCCTTCAGCCACGTTTCCGGCTTTTCCTTGCTCACACCTGACCCAGCAGGTCTAGGTATGCTCGTGCTGATGCCTCCAGCCTTTGCTCCTGCTGATCCACTTCCTGGAACATCTGCCTCACTCATATCTGCTAGGCCACCTCTAAGCATCCCCTTGGTCCCACTTTCAGCATCCTCTCCCCAGGAAGGCTTCGAGTCTGGATTCTGGCCCCTTTGGGTGCTGCTTGAGCCCCATGTGCTTCTCTTACTGCACCTCTTGCCTTCGGCCCAAGGAAGCGGTCTACCCTATTCACCTGGTGCCTGGTGCCCAGCCCAGCGCAGCACCCACAATCTGCTGAATGAGTCAACAGACGACTCAGCCTCCAAATTACTGTCTCCTCAAACGTGGTCCCACAGGCTGTCACTCACATTTTGACAGTGACTGCTTCCACTGAGATGGCTCCCCCCTCTTACCATCCCCCCCCGAAAGAGGTGAAGTGCAGCATGTACTCCAAGCTACTTACTGGGGTGGCCCCTTCCCCAGGTTCCACGGTGGGCATGGAGAGGGTGGGGTCCCCGGTGGGCACCCTGCCCTCCTCGGCTTCCTCTGCAGTGCTGACGGTCACGTTAGCTTCCCCTGCAGTGCTGAAGGTCACTTCGGCTTCCCAGGCAGTGTCGATGGTCACGTTGGCTTCTCTGGTTGCTACTGTTGTTGCCAAATCTTCTACAGTGTGTGGACTCTGTAAAAAGACATCGCAAGGGACAGCGTCACTGGGCCCACGGCTCTGATCAATGTGCCTGTGGCTGGAGAGAACAGACTGTCTGCACCTCTTGGTCAACTTGCATTTCTGTAGCCTCTTTCCCTCTGAGCACTTTCTTTCTTTCTTTCTTTTTTTTAAAATATATTTTATTGATTTTTTACAGAGAGGAAGGGAGAGAGATAGAGAGCTAGAAACGTCAATGAGAGAGAAACATCGACCAGCTGCCTCTTGCACACCCCCCACCGGGGATGTGCCCACAACCAACGTACATGCCCCTGACCAGAATTGAACCTGGGACCTTTCAGTCCACAGACCGACGCTCTACCACTGAGCCAAACCGGTTTCGGCTGAGCACTTTCTTACCTGGACCTCACCCCAGCCCAACAATAGTCCCAGAAGCACAGCCTCCCAGGGACAGAAGGGACTGCACAGCACTTGTCTGCACGCACCAGTGGCTGGGAGATCACTGCCCCCTGAGCCAGCCTGCTCCAGCTCCGACACCTCTATCTGGACACGTCTGCTTCCCTGCGACCTTCCCACGTGCCCATCCAGAAGCCATAGGAACAAGAGAAAAGTCTTTGCCCACGACTGCTTCGAGACCTGCAGGCAATTCCACCCTCCTTGTCCTCTCAGCCTTGACACCTGCTTCCTCTCTTTCTCTGTGACTTAGCTTCCTTCAGGATGCACACCCTTCCTGGAAGGTTACGCGGCAGGTGCAGGGAATGGAAGTAGAGCAGCTTTGACTGCAGGTGCTACCAAACTGACTATGTTTGATCTCAGTTTCCCAAAGTGGTGGCTGTTTTTAATTGGGGATTGTTTTGTTTTGTTTGCAAAAGTGTAATTCTTTTGGATACTGAAAACTTATCAAAGTTAGATAGATTTCCTTGCTGCAGGATTTCTCAGAGCCTATAAGGAAGAAATCAGTGGAGCATTTCCTAAACATTTGACAACAGAACCTTTTTTTCATATAACATATTGAGTCCTTGCAGAATTATTGTAAAAAACAAACAACAACAACAACAAAAAACACACCACAAAACCACACACAAAAAAAGGAGAGAATAAATAGTTACAGATTTTACTAGTAAAATGAGACTCTTTCTGACAGAACTTCAGCTAAAGTCCCAAAGGACTTTATAATTAGGTACAGCTAACTAATTAATTGTACAAGGTAAGTACAATTCCACTGTCATCAGGTGCCTTCCACATACTAAAAAAAGGAACCAGGCCACTTATGTGGGATGCACTGAGAGACCATGAAGTGAAATTAGCCTCTCCCTCTGCCTCCGGGCTATGTAAGCAAAGGAAAATACCTCCTATTGGGAGAGTAAGAATTCCTTCGGAGAGAATTTTAAGCGGTTTCTCCCCTTTCTTCTGCTCACTACAAAGCATTTGGTGAGCTGGATACGTATTCCATGGAATTTGGGAGACAAAGGGACTGCGTTTTTTATATCACACTGAACTGGGCTTTGGAAATAGGCTGTTATCAGACAGTGACTTGGACAGTATGAGCATATCTGATTTTTCATCCTAGGACAATGGAAAGGATGAGCTGACCCTGCGGGCCATTGTGAGAAAAATACATTGGTTTAACTTTGGTATCCAACTGTGTCCAGCATCTTACAAATTGGTCTTGTGGGTATAAAAGCCAATTACCCAACCACAGAGTGGACACACATGTAGCTAATCTGATGCTGTCCAGCAAGGGTTCAAAGAACGGAAGAGGATGTGCATCTTCCCAATTGGGCGGGAGGGAGGCAGGTGCCATAGTGAGGACTCAGCACTCATCCCAGGCAGGTGTGAGCACCAGCTGCGTCCCCCTCCCTCTTCCCCTGGTGCATCCCTGGAGGCCTCTGGAGCCCTGGGACTCCTGCTGCCCCTGTCCCAGCAGGAGGGAGGCAGTCTCTACCATATTCAACTAAAACCCGAGTGGTCCCCTCGGGTGCCCAATACAAGTCACCATCAAGTCTAAAATACCACTGACGTAGCAAATGGAATTTACTATTCACTCACCTCTCCAGTGACATGAAGGAAGGCCCCATCCCCCGAGCCAGGGTCTGTAATGGGGACCCGGTTCATAGTATGGACTTCCTCCAGAGTGTCATTCAGGATGTCACCAGACCCTGGGGAGCAATTTTCTGTAATTAATAACTGCACTTTGTGGTCTTGAAAAAGAAGAGCTCCCTCTTCACCGACTGACTTGAAAAGATGCCCAGGATACAGGATTAAGAGAAAATAAGAAAAAATCCAAGGCAGTATTACATGTGCCCGAGACATGCACCTGTAATCGGCCTGCATTCTCTGCCCCTTTTCAGAGGGGTAACCATTTATTTCAGACAGAAGTTACAGCCAACGTCGGAGCACCAAGATTTGGGTACCAGGTAAAAAACCAGCCCATACGCCCACAGCAGGGGCTGGCTGAGCAAACGGAAGGCAGTATTACATGTGATTTCTATCGCAGTTTCTGCCACAACTGCAGGCCTAGAACCCAGCATTGGCGAGTCATTTAGCCTGTGCCTCAGGTTCCTCATCTGTAAACTAGGGATAATTCCCATCTTCTTATGTGCTATAAGGATGAAATGCATTAATACAAGGAAAGCATCAAGGACAGCACCTGGCATAGAGTCAGCAATGAATAAATGTTCATTCATTGTCAGTGTGATTCTATGTTTGTAAAGGGAAAGCAATTACATATGAGTATTCATGTTTTATCAACATTATATAATTCATATAGTCACTATATAACACATATAATATGTAAATATATATGAATATGTGTGTGTGTGTATAGATAAACAACACATGCGTGGCTAAACCTCAATATTTAATATTGGTTTCCTCCTGATGAAACTACTATTTTTTTGGTTCATGGACAATTCTTTTTTTCTTTTTCTTTTTTTAATATATTTTATTGATTTTTTTTTACAGAGAGAAAGGGAGAGGGATAGAGAGCTAGAAACATTTATGATGAGAGAAACATTGACCAGTTGTCTCCTGCACATCCCCCACCGGGGATGTGCCCACAACCAATGTACATGCCCTTGACCGGAATCGAACCTGGGACCTTTAAGTCCGCAGACCGATGCTCTATCCACTGAGCAAAACCGGTTTCAGCCATGCAATTCTTCATTGATTAAACTGTAACCACAAGTACACATTTCTTTTGCAATTAAAAAAACACTTGGAGTCCTAAAGCAAAGAAAAAGAAATTATATAACATACATACATGCATGTTACAGGCTGGACCCAGGGCTAAGCATGTCTCATTCCTTCCCTCATTTAATTTTCCCACTAGCCTATCTCAACTACAAGGACTTTCCCACCACCTCGAAGTTGGTGGACAGAGTCAGGACAGAACCCCACATTCTCAGTCCCCCCACTATCAATGCACTCCATGTGTGTCCTGCTCTGACCCACATGTTAGCACCTTATTTATGAACCCCCTTATGCAGAGGAGAAACAGGCCCCACAGAGAGGGAGTGGCTGGAAGAAGCCCTTGAAGCCAGGTTAATCTGTCCCATGCCCAGACATTTGCACACATGCTGTGTTCATGCATGCCCCATAGTATGAACAGTGTGTATGTGTGTGGAGGGAAGGGGGCAGGTTGGTGCTGCATTATTCAAGGCATCCATTGCACAGGCACATCCTGTAACTCTCATCATCCTTCCAGCTGCTACCACCGGGGGGTACTGTGCAAGCAGCTAGCCAGACCTCAGGCCTCAGAGTCCCCATCTCTTGGAGGATGGTGGTGAGGGTAGTGTGTGCCCTGGGACAAGATGGTGTCAGGGAAACCTGAATAAAGCTATCGGGTGGCATCCCCTAGGCTGGGACCGGGCTCTCCAGGCTCAGGCCCATTTCCTTCACCCTCTGAACACTCTACCCAACAAGAATGGGAACATTTCAGCCAGCCCCGTTGCTGTTGTTTGGCCTTTTGTTTGCCAGAGAAGGAGTCTGGCTGTTAACAGGGAACAGGCGAGTTGTGCTTGGATCTGGGTCCCCGTCTGGATTTGGCTCCCACCTCCTTTGAACTTACCCCTCAGTCTAGAAGAGGCCCTCATCCCAGGACTCCACAGCCTCTGGCCCCTCCTTTCCTGCCCTCAGAAATGCCAGTGCCACCCAGGAGAACAGCACTGCAGTCACGCCATGCACCACTTCCACATCCTCTCATCACGGGGGATTGTGGACAGACAGTCAAGAGACTCTGAAGCTCGGAAAAGTTAAGCAACTTGCCCGGGCCCGGCAGCCAAAAGGTGGCTGAGAGGGCTTCCGTCCAAACTGTCTGCTCCCGGCCAGCCCCGCAGTCTTTCCACAGAAACACCCTGGCTCCTTGGCTGTGTTATGACTTTATTAAATTATCAGACAATTTTTTTCTACTCAGTGCTGCATACCTTCTCTCACCCACAGATTTCCCAAGTTTAGTTATTAAAATAACATCCATTCACTGATGGCAGAAGTAAAAAGAACAATGATATGTAAGATGGTAAAAGGACATGTAAACTACTGGACTACAAACAAAAAAATTAAAGCCACCCACAATCCTACCACCCAGAAAATATTACTCATAGCATTTTGTTGTATATTAGTCTAGCACACACACATGTACATACACACACATTGTTTTATATGGATAGATGTAAATATAAATAACATGTTCAAATTGAGGGTCATAGCACACCTACAGCTTTTTAATGGAGTCCACCTTGAACATATCCCTGGATCACCAAGTTCAGGGCTGCACATTTGAATGAAATATCATTTGCTCAACCAGTCCCTCAACGGTGGGCATCTGGGATGATTTTAGACCTTGTACCTAGATCTCCGTGCTCTGGCGTTGGCTCTATCTTTGGTCTGAAACAGCTATCCCACTGATAAAGGGCGGAACACGCAGGCCGATCTCACGCCTTGAGCACACGACTAGCTGCTGCCTGGGGGTCACGTCAGAAGTCGTGTTTTTGCCAGTGCTCCTTCATATCGCTGGGCAGGGACCAGAGTCCTGGATGGGGAGCTAAGAGGCCGGACTGCCCCAGGGCCTGCTGCTGACCTCCTGGGCCTGCCCCTCTTTGGCCATCAGGTGGTTTTCCCATGTGTGCCTCACAGGAGGTCAGATGGCCCGACCCTCTGAGAATCGGGGAGTCTGTGGCCAAGGCTGGGAGGGGCAGGGATTCTGGAGGGAGGCCTGGGCACCGGCTCTGCCCCACCACTCATGAGCTGTGTGACTGGGGGCATGCCACTGACCTTTCCAAGCACTGGCTTTTCCATCTGTACAATACTGGCTGATAATAGCAACTCGGAGACGTGTGGTTGGGCTTTGAGATGACTTATGGACACTTGGCCCACAGAAGGCACTTAATAAGCAGCAACAGTGATTACGAGCTTTTCTGTTAAACCTCGGATCCTTCTGGAGGGATAGTCTGGGGACTGAAAGTCCAGCTACACAAAATTAAAAGCCATCTCTGCCGTTTACAAGCCACAGAGCGTCAGCCAGGCGACTTGATTTCCCCACCTTGTTTGTCAAAGGCAGAAGGAGAAATGAGGTGCTCCACGTTCCACGCGTCACCCAGGCGAATGCACCGTCCCCACTCAATAGAAAACCACCACGTGCAAAGGCACCCCCAGGACTTGCCTTGCTCAGCGCTGCTGTTCAGGATGGCACTCAGGTTGGGGGTTTTCAGGGTCCCCTCAGGTACAGGTTCCCTAGAAAGTTCTGAATCCTTGGAGGGAAAGGTTGGAGTTGGAGGTGTGTTAATGGGTTCAACTTTTGATTCTTTAGGCTGAAGGAAGAAAAAAAAAAAAAGAGAGAGAGAGAGACCTCAAAACATTTACTTGGCAGGAAAGCAGGAGAAAAGGGCAGTGAATAATATCCCTGGAGAAAATAATACATCCACAAAGTTCTGAAAGCTTAGACCTGCCTATTGAGCACCAAGGCCATCACTGATCTTGCCAGACCCTGAAAAAGGTGCCTCTAGGAGTCATTTAATTCTGTCCTGTGTACAGCAAGACTCTGCCAGACTTGCCTGAAGCTCTCTGAGCACAGAGACCACATTTCCGTATCCCAGGCTGGGAGAGAGGAGATGGTCAATAAAGATCTCTTAGACCAGGGAATGAATGAGTAAATGAACACACAAGTGAATGAAGTAGGCTGCATTTAGTGAACGCTGTATGAATCCAATCCCAGATGTGCGCTGGTCATGAATGCCTTCAAAAATAAGAGACGGGTGTGGCTTCCTTTCTTGGGCACTTCAGCTTCTGTGCAGTTTTTCCAAAGCCAGTTAATTCCTCAACCAACTAGGGTAAAAAGGGAACAAACAAAAAACCCCAACAGTGGGAAACAGAGCAGTTCAGAGATCTAGGCAGAAAACTTGTTTGGTGGTGGTGGTGGTGGTGGTGGTGGGGTGTCAGCAAAGGTTACGACATCCTCCCCAGACCCAGCTCTGGAGAGACAGGGCTTGCCAGTGTTCAAATAGTCTCATTCCTTTCTGAGCACAAGGGGCTGGGAGATGAAAGGAAGGATCCGGCTGACCATTATTGGACCTGTGATGTGGACCAGAAACAATTAAGACACTAAGACTTCTTGAATTAATTTATGACCACAGCCATCACTTACCTATCCTGACAAATAACAGAAAATTATTTCCTTAATGTCAGAATCTACTGTATAGACAATGAATCTCTGGTCCGACAGAACAAGGAGAGTTTTTCTGGATCTAATGGCTCTTAGAATCTAATGGTTCAGTTCTGACGATCAATCTTGGGACAAATCTCTCTACCTATTGCCTTTGTTATATTGGGCAAGTCATATAAACTCACTGAGCCTCATTTCCTCCTCTGTAAAAGAGAGCCAATGATAACTACTTACAGGGTATAAAGTGCCTGGAGGTGCTCAGAACAGGGCCATAGTATGAGCCCACTAATGTGTCAATATCACTAGAATCCTAAAGTCTGAGAAAGAACAATACCTCTATAGAGATTTTCTCTAGTATTAAAGATGCTCTTTTTTTTTTTTTTTTAGTTATCTGCAGTTATGGGTTTTTAAAAATAATGGATATGTAATATTTGTGTGCTAAAAAAAGAGTATCTTTTGTTGTATTGTAAAATCTCCAGAACAATAACTGAGGTGGGGCTAGAAGTCTTAAAGGAGTTGGGTCTTGAAGAATGAAAAGAGCTTCCAAAACCAAGGATGGAAGAAGGCATTGAAATGACAAAGGACACAGCATTGTGCTTGGTGAGGATTCCAGGACAGAAGCAGGGAGACAGAGCCAGGAGGCAGAGAGAGGGAGGGGAGCTGGATCTTTGGTGAGAAGTCTTGCCTCCAGCCTGGGCCATCTGTGGGGTGTTAGGCTGGGGCGTGGCATGGGCAGGTGTGTGCTTGGAGAGTTCACCGTGGTGCCAATGAGAGCATGGGTCTGGGGAGTTGAGGTTAGGCCAGAAGACAAGGAGGCTTCACTGAAGAAGCTCAGTGAGGCAGGAACCATGGTGCATTGTGGGAGCAGAGGGCAGGGACCACCACCAGAGGGGCTGTGAAGGCCTTTAGGACTTCCCCATTCCCCCCAGCTGCTTGGTGAACAAGTGGGGGCGTAAGGACCCTGTCTAGGCAGTTCCTCTCCTCTTCCTGCCGGCATCCCCTGATGGTCTCTGGAAATCCTGACTCCAGCCTGGAGCAAGGCCGGTGGCAGAAGTGAAGTCACTTTACCTGGGAACTGGGCTTTGGTACGAGGCGGGTAGGGCAGGTGAGGGTGCAGGAAATGCAGGACAATAAAGGAGGTGAGGGGTGGGTTGAGCTCTGTAACTCAAGGTGGCAAAGATCAAATCACTGACTACAGTCTGTCAACCAGAAACCTTCTTTGGAATCTCCTAAGAAGAGGGCCACAAATCCCCGCTCAAGGGCAGAGCGTAAATCTGGGGAGCTGACCCTTAGGTGGTTGGTTTTCGGGGGTTAGTGTGGGTGGAGACCAGTGTGGTCGGTGACAAAATAGGAATGCCAAGTCTTAAGACTTTTTTATTAAAAGTGTGGTGATTTGCTGAGCCCACACTCATATTCAACACATATTTCCGGAGGCCTTACGATGTGCCAGGTCCTTGGCTAATCGCTGGGATATGGAAATAAATAACTAAGAGGGTGGCTGTCCACAAACTGTTGAGCTACAGGGACACAGACCCAGACCCAGACACAACAAACGGCGACTGAATGCGACACATGGGACAGCGGAAATGAGAGCCAAGTGCGGGGAGGGAAGCTGGCCATGGCCTCGGGCGGACGGGGTCCTGAAGGACAAGTAGGAACCGGCCAGACACAGAGCGGGTGGAAAAGGGCTCTCTTTGCAGACAGAACCCAGGAGTGAAGGTGTGGACGAGGGGAAAGTGCTGAATGTGTTTCGGGAACTGTGAGGATTTGGGTGTGGCTAAAGGAGAGATCTTGGCTGTGGCTCAGAATCACCTGCAAAGCTTTTGGTAGGTGTAGCTTCTTGAACCCCATTTCAGACCTTCTATCAGCCTAGGCAAGAGTTTTTTTGAAGACATCCCCATCTCACTGTCTCTTGCTCCCTGCCCTCCTCCCCGAATACTCACACAACTTGGATGCACAGCCAGGGCTGAGGACTTACAGGGATATTAATTCTAAGTCGGCATATGATAGAACTTTCCAGAAATGGAAAGCTGTGTCAGCAGAAGCTGACTCAGCAGGGGGAAGCATAGGGTAGCAAGGGACTCCTGCCTTAAATGGGAAAGGGGGTGAGGAGGAAGGGGCTGGCTGCTTAAGGCCATGATTCAGTTCTCAGGCCATGGCTTGTGTCTTGAAGGTTGGCAGTTGGAAAGCGTGAGGACAGGGATGTAATATTCACTCCCAGAGAGAAGCCAGACAGAGAGGGAGGGGAACGTCTGAGAGCGAGAGGGAAATTCCCCCAAAGTAGAGGGAGGCAGCCCTGGATCCCTTCCAGGAGATGGTGAAAGGGGAAGTCCCAGCTCAGGGTGACATGACAGAGGGCACTCTGGGCCCTCCCTGTAGGACTCGCCCTGCCACTTCCCCACTGGGCAGTCTCGGACTAAACGCTACACTCTTCTCTGCCTCAGAACATCCTCTAGGGAATGAATGGAACAACCCGGTCCTGCAAAGGAGGCCGGAGGGAGGGAGGTCTCTGCGGGAGCGCAGGAGGTTCTGAGACCCAGCCTGAGCCTCAGGACCGCAGCTCCAGGACCTCCAGGTCTGGCGCCACAATTCTCTTCATGACTGAGGGTAGCACAAGGGTCCAACATGCACAGGGAGAGGGTCCCAAGAGAAACGGGCCCCTCTAACATAGCACCTCCACCCTCACAAATAGCCTGTAGTCAACAGGAGCATCCACAACGTTGGCTGAGAGCTGCCTGTGCCGGGACCAGCCCGTGAGTTTCCCACGGGTCAATTCATTCCTCTCTCACTAACCCTGTGAAGCCGCCCGCACCATTCTCACCAAGGAGGAAGCCGAGGCTCAGGAGGTGAAGTCACTGGCTCCCTGTCAGCAACCAGTGTTAGGTGGCAGGGTTGAACTCACACTTGGTGCGACTCCAATCTATACCGGTTCCCTTAAAACCACTGAGGAGAGTGGGGTTGGGGGATCTGGGAAGGGAAGTGTTTGGGGTGCCCCAGAGACCACCGAGCCCATCAAATGCCTTTTCCACCTCTCCAGACACTTTGGGGATTTATTCTGTTCTCATTCCCCACTGCAATGCACACCCACACCTGCCCTTCACCGCCTACCCAGGCCCAGGACAGGAGGCCCAGCGAGGGTCCTGACTTCACCACCCGTGACCCTGGCAAAGCCACCCTGTCCTTCTGAACATCCACCTCCCTTGCAGAGTTGTTGCAAGGACTCAGTTAAGCCATAGAGACAAAGCACCAGCCAAACTGCAAGTGTTGACAAATGCTGGTCCTCTTCCCTCCCTACCATTCCTCTACTTCTGTCCAAAGCTGCCCATCACCAATGCCCCTCCGTTAGAAAAATCTCCCTGACCAGCCCCTCCCCCTGATCACCTCATGCTCTCAAAGCCTGCTCCTCTCTCCCAAGGCCACCTTGGGTTACTGGTATCTTTGCCTGAGTTCACCCTAGCTGTGAATTGGTGCACTTGGGGGCAGCATTAGGCTAGAAGGCCCAAGAGACCACCATTCTGTGCCCTGGACATGCTGATGGAGTGGCCAAGGGCTGATGGGCACACAGGATTGCAACTCTGCTCAGAGCCAAGGTGGCCACTTTGGAGCCTTGACTTCCTGCATCAAAGCTGTCCAAGAACTAGCAACATCACCCAGGCCAGTAGCTCAAAGGCATGGCTGGAACCCTGGCTGAGACATAGGGAACCTGTGCTCTAGCCTCAGTTCTGCCCATGCACCTGAGAGCCAGTTTTCTTCCCCTTGCTGGGCCTCAGCTTGCCCATCTGTAGAAAGGGCACCTTTAAGAGGTGACAGTTAAATCCCTCCAGCACTGCCAGACTATGGTCCCATCCTTCCCCACCCTCACTTCTGTCGCCAGAAATCTATAATGTATAACCTCTGCCTTCTTTCCATCTCTCTGATCTCCGATCAGAGATGAGTTTATAGAGTGGCCAGACCAGTGGAGATTGCTGAGCTTCTGTGTTCAGTGACTCAGACCCTGCTGGCTGTTTTCATTAACGCGGGCTCCTTGGTGTCTCCCCAGACTGACTCAATGCTTTCGACACCACTTCCTCTAGGGTGCATTCCCAGGAGGGTGGAGGCCTGGCCTCCTGGAGGACGGCTGGCTTCGCCATGGGGTCAGAAGTTAGCTCCTGGGAGGACCTAGCAACTTGCAGGAGTGACTTCCTTCTCCTAGCCAGAGTCCCTAGTGAGTAGAGGTTACAATAGCCACCATTCAGGGACACATCCTTCCTGCCACACATGGGTCTGAGACCTGGCCTTGCACAATCTCATCTAACCCTCTCAACAACCCCACCAGATAGGCTTGTTTTATGGACGAGGAGCTGAGGCTCAGAGAGGCTGAGCAAGTTCCCCGAGGTCACAGAGCTGGGAGGCCGGAGAGCACAATGTCTGCCTCTGGACGGCCTTCTCATGCCGCAGCACAGGCAGCACTCAGGTCACTGGTGCTCCCATGCGCTGGGGTTTTGCAAAATGCCCTGCTGGCCGGTACCCTCCTGCTCTCCGCAGATGAGCTGACGATGGAAGTCACCCATCTGAGAACAGAGTGGTCAGACCCAGGCACTCTCTCTCCAGTAACTCAGGCCCCTACAAGCTGGCCCAGATGGCCTGGTGGCACCCCAGAACTCACCGGGGCTTGAGTGTAGGTGTCAGCGTCTAAGATCTCAGCGACTCCGTCTGTCTCCTGAAGCCCGCTGGCCTCTCCGGATGCCTGTGTGGAGGCAAAAGACACCGGGCGCAGTTTACAGCTGGAGAGTCAGGGAAACTGCCTCCTCCAGTGGAGGAGTGTGTGTGTGTGTGTGTGTGTGTGTGTGTGTGTCAGAGAGGGACACAGACAGAGAAAGAGAGAGTGAAATCCAGGAGAGCACGTGCATGGTACACATGCTTGGTTATTCTTTTTGTTTCCTTCCACATTTTACTGCTCAAACAAACAAACAACCCCACAGCAATCGATTTACAGTCTCTAACATAACTACTTGCATTTTGTCCAGGTTCCCTTCAATCTCCCTCAAAAGGCCTGCAATCTGAGAGCTGTCACGGGAATTTTTCATTGGGAGCAGTCACACTGGAAGCATGCCTTCCTGTTGCCACCTCATCTTCATAATTAGCCATCTGATGGCAGTCATGGAGCCTGGGTGCTGCAGACGCTTGTCTTGTGTAAGGTGATAAGATGTCCCGCTTTTTAACAATTTGTCCCGCATCCTGAGGCGTTTTTAAAAATCAGGACTGTTTTAAAATGCCTCAGGTCGTGGAACAAATTGTTAAAAATCGGGACTGCCCCGCCAAAAGCGGGATGTCTGGTCACCTTAGCCTCATGCCTACTTTTTCAATATCTCTCAGTAGTCACAGCAATGCATGGATGGAGGCACACGGACACGTGGGGCTTCCCTCCTCTTAGCTCACCGACATGCTGGGCCTGGACCCCGGCCTCGAGGAGTGCCGACATGCTCACAGAGCCAACCCCCACCTGGCAGGCTTTCCGGCTAAGGGCAGCCGTCTTTACTGCCTGAGTGAAACCAACTCGTGTTTTGTTTGAGAGTTGATACCCCCAAAGAGGAACAGACATTCTAGGGCTCTGCCACGCTCTGCGTCATGCTATGGAACTCCTGCATCACGTATGGCTTCTGCCTGGAAGGTCTTTTCCCCTTCCTCTCACCACTACTCGCCTGTCATTGGTCAGGCACGGACTCCTCCCTGACCTGCTCAGGCTCCTCCTCCCTCACCTTCTGGCACTGCCACCGGAGTTGGGTGGTAGGTGTGATTTATCCCTTTATCTCCGGCATCCCCCCCAGGTGTGTCACCTGGCAGGTGCTCAGTATCCCGTGCAGGCAGGGATGGAGGAACAGACGGAGGAAGGGGGGAAAGGACCTACGGTATCGTTTTCCTCCCCGGCCCACCACCCACTTCCATCTCAGGAACTGATTCGTTTGCCAAGCATAAACGCTAAATTTAGGTTCCCTCTTAGAGGAATTTACACCCAGGGTGTCTTAGAGTTTTAGCTTCGATTTTAGAATCCTGACACCCTGTCTTGGCAGGAAGTCTGGAAACCAGGCCACTGACTGCCTCAGCTGCAGAAACACCTAACACCTTAGAAAAAAAAAAAAAAAAAAAAAAAACACAACCCACCGCAAACACCGAAAAGATGGCTGAAGTTCTTACAAATAATCAAATAAAGCCCCAAAGCCCAAAATAGGACTTGAGGCAGCACTTGCCAAGATGAGGGATTTTAGAGGCTCCATGACGTTGGGGATGAAGAATGGCCTGGGCACCCAGCCTTTCCCTGGCAGATGGGCTGTTGGGGCTGCAGGGCCTACTGTATTGGGGGGTGGGGGGGGGGGAGGAAGCGGGGGATGGGAGCTCACCGAGGATTCCTCGACTTCACACCGTTTCTCCGGAGCCCTGGGGTCGGGGTGGATGGTGAGCTGCTGTATGGAACCCTGGGGAAAAGCAGAGGGGTCAGAAGCCACCGCTTGCACGTTTATAGTACAATCATCAGCGGAAACATGATTGTTTTTGTAAGGCAGAAGAACCAGTGACAGGGTGGTGCTGGCTGTGACAAGCAAACCAAGCCACCCGTAGGCCCGCGCTCATTTTTTTTTTTTTTGGGGGGGGGTCTTTGTTTGAGCCGATGTAAATCTGAGCCCCACTGTCTGGAGACCCCCTTGGGGAGTATTATGTTCAAAGCACAGACTAACACAGCGGCCTCCTAGCTGCTCCCAGGTCTCTAACTTGTCAGGGGCAGGTCCTCAATGCACATCTTCCTCTCCAGAGGGTCTTTCCCTGCGGCCGGAAGCTTGTTGGCTGGAAGCCTCGCCCCAAGAAGAGCTGCCAGCCTGCCTCCCTCCCTCCACACTCTCCTTCTGTCCCCACACCTGACACCTCATTCTCCACGACCCACCCAGCGCGAGGGTTTAAAAATGGTTCGTTGGATTTGAACTTCTTAGAAATCTCAGTCTTCGGGCACACCACAGAGAAACCCAAACTCCACCCCACGGTACTACTGTCTCATGTCAGTCCACGTGCTGCCTAAATAACATAGGGGTTTTCTTTAGCATGGCTTGTTCATAAAAGCTCATCCTGACAGTAAAGTCCGTTTTCTGGTATTTTTTCAGGGCACATTGTCCAAAAGGAGAGAGAGAAGCTCTCTCCCTCGGGCATTACGGCTTGTTGGAGCCTCCGCAGAAATCACTGCATCGGCCACCCTCTCCAAAGACACAAACACCGAAGGCTCTGACGACCCTCCTCTCTGCATAAATGAACAAAGTGCTTTCCCACGGGCCTTCCCGGTTGACTCTACAGCCCCATGACGTGGTTTGTCTTCTCCCCACTTACAGGTAAGAGAACACAGAGAGGCTCAGAGGACCCAGGACTGTCTAGCCCAGTGGTTGGCAAACTCATGAGTCAGCAGAGCCAAATACCAACAGTACAACGATTTGAAATTTCTTCTGAGAGCCGAAAACCGACTTAGGCGCATGGGCCACGAAGTTTCAATCGCACTGTACGCGCGCGCCCACTCGTGGTAATTTTGTGGGAGCGCCACACTCAAGGGGCCAAAGAGCCACCGTTTGCCGACCACGGGTCTAACATACCAGGCGACACTGAAAACTCAGGACTGGGATCCAAGTATTGGGTTCCAGCCTAGCGTTTTTCTCAACGTGCATGCAGGCCTCGTTGAGGACTCAAGGATAAAATAACAACAAGCATATTCGCTCATGTGAGCCACACTGTGTCCAGCGGCCTCCCCGGTCTGCAGGGTTTGGACTCACGATGAATTTCTCCAGCTGCTTGGCCCCGGCGCTGCCCACGAAGATCCCCGCTCGGGGCTCGAACACCAAGGCCCGGGAGGAGCGCTGGAAGGGGACGCGGCTGTGCTCCTCGCAGTCCAGCACGAGGGTCACTTCCTCGCCCTCCACGATCACATCGAAGCGGTTCCACCGGTGGGTCATGACGGGCACGGAGAAGGCGGCGGCCTCCTGGGACACGGCCGAGCCGGGCTCCGTGTAGTAGAGGATGACCCGCTGCTGGCCGTCCGCCACGGCCGAGAGCTGCAGGCCCAGGTGGACGACCGTCTGGAAGGTGTCCGTGACGGCGAAGAGCACGCCGCCGCGGTCGCTGCCGGGCTTCACGGTGACGCTGATGGCGAAGTCCCGGAAGAAGGCGGGCGGCAGGAGCACGCTGGCCGGGCGGCCCACGTTGGCGCCGGGCCCGAAGCTGTAGGCCGGGAAGCCCCCGTAGCCCGTGACGAAGGACACGGACGGCGACAGCGGGAGGCCGATGATCTCCATGAGGTCCAGGTGGGCCTGGGAAGGCGGTGCTGCAGGGAGGCAGAGAGAGGCCATGTCTCACACGTATGTTCAACTGTGCTTGGAAAGGAGGGAGGGACCGCAGAGGTCACCTGAGATGACCTGAGGCGTGTTAACCTGCACCATACAGTTTAACCGCTGCTAGCCACGTGTGGCCAGTGAGCTTCTGAAGGGGGTTGCCACCCGGAGATGTCTCGTAGTGTAAAATACCAATTTCCAGTACTTCGTCTTTAGACAAAGGAACACAAAACGCTTCATTAATAGTGCTTACATTGATCACATGTTGAAATGATAATGGGGGAAATACTGGGTAAAATAGGTGCACTTTTAATATCTTTTTAAAGAATACTATGAGAGCCGAAACCGGTTTGGCTCAGTGGATGGAGCGTCGGCCTGCGGACTGAAAGGTCCCAAGTTCGATTCCAGTCAAGCGCATGTACCTTGGTTGCGGGCACATCCCCAGAAAGTGTGCAGGAGGCAGCTGGTCGATGTTTCTCTCTCATTGATGTTTCTAAATCTCTATCCCTCTCTCTTCCTCTCTGTAAAAAATCAATAAAATATATTTAAAAAAAAAAAAAAGAAGATTATGAGAAACAAGCATGTGCTCCCTCCACGACCTCCTGGCTTAAGAAAGAAAATACCAGTTCAGCCAGAGCTCCATGACCTCTCCGGTCCTCTCTCCCTGCCACGCCCTGGGGCAGCCGCTGGGGGGACGCGGAGGGCACCATTCCCACGCAGACTCTGTGCTCATTAGGCCAGGATGTGTCTCTAACACAGTGTGGGACCACTGCGTGTCTCTAAACGCCACATACATGTTGGCAAGCCGCCTGTACTCTTCTGGCTCCTTTCCCCCTCTAATCGACTCTGTGTTTTTGAGGTTTGTCTGTGCTGATGAACAGGGCTCTGTGTGTTTTAACAACAGTACTCTATGGTGCAAACAGCCGTAATGGATTTCCGTGGATGGAAAGTAAAGTTTTCACCATATTACAAACATGACTGCTGTGGACTTCCCTATATATGTCTCCTCGTGTGTGTTTACCTGCACAGGTAATCCCACCATCTGGGGGTGGGCTTATTGGATGATAAGGAGATATACACTCACAACTTCACTGAATGTTGCTAAAATGTTCCCTGAACGCCCTCCCTAGCTGCTCAGTGGTTAGAGCGTTGGCTGCAGATGGATGGGTCCCGGTTTGATTCCGGTCAGGGCACATACCTGGATTTCAGGCTCAATCCCTGGGCCCTATTGGGGTGTGTATGGGAGGCAACCAATTGATGCATCTCTCTTACATTGATGTTTCTCTCCCTCTGTCTCTCCCCCTCCCTTCCACACTCTCTAAAAATCAATGGGGGGAAATATATCCTGGGGTGAGGATTAAAACATAAATAAATAATAAATAAAATGTTCCCTGAAGCAACTGTGCCATTATTTTTTATTGAGACATAATTGACATACAGCATTGTGCATCTTTAAGGTGTGTATAATGTGTTGACATGATACATTTATGTAGTGCAATATGATTTCCACCTAAGCTTTAGCTAACACCTAGGGCAGTGGTCGGCAAACTCATTAGTCAACAGAGCCAAATATCAACAGTACAACGATTGAAATTTCTTTTGAGAGCCAAATTTTTTAAACTTAAACTTCTTCTAACACCACTTCTTCAAAATAGACTCACCCAGGCCATGGTATTTTGTGGAAGAGCCACATTCAAGGGGCCAAAGAGCCGCATGTGGCTCTCGAGCCACAGTTTCCCGACCACAGACCTAGGGCATGCCAGGTAATCGTCATTCCTTTTTTTGTGGTGAGAACATTTAAGATGCACCTGTACCGCTTTACCCGCCACCAGCAGTGCGTTCTTCCAACCTTTAGGGGAGGCAGAGGGATGTGATTTGGGCGAGGCCCATGGGGCTTTCTCACTACGGAAACCATGTTGATTTCTTATTCCTTTCCAGTGCCTCATGCTGTTGCAGGTCCTCCTTCTACCCTGAGTGCTTTCCCTCTGTCACCCACCTACTCAGCCCAGCGCCACTCAGTGATTTTGCCAGGATAACTCCTCTCATCAAGACTCAGCCTGCTCTCACCTCCCTTGAACACGTTGTCTCACCTCCTATACCTACACCTCCTCCCCCCCTTCCTCAGGCTGCATTATATGTCCTCTCAGGGCACACTAGGGCCTCCACCACAGCCCCCAGCAACTGCATTTCACTCTTGGGGGTCGTGTCTCTCTCACCATTGGACCATGAAGACAAGGCCCACACCATGCATTTCTGTGTTCCCTGCACCTGGCCCAGTGCTGATGAATGAATGAATGAATGAATGAATGAATGAATGAAGTCCAACCTGCTCCTCTTACAGAAGGTGTGAGTGAGGTTCAAAGAAGGAAGGGGTTTGCTGGCTATGAACTCGGATCTGATTCTCAATCCAAAGCTTTCTCTCTCCAGTTTGCAACATGCACTAAAACCGGGATTAATTAAAGTATGACAGACCTCAGGAGGCATAAACAAAATGATTGATGAATCTGGTTAAATTTAACTACACAGAAATTTTTAAAATTCTGGAGAGCAAAATAAAAATCCCCATGATGTAAAATGAAATACCCAAATTGGGCGAAAATATTTGCTACATATATTACAAACCACAAAGTAATTAGCCAGATACATGAAGCCAACGAGTACGCAGGAGGGCAACAACCCAAGAGAAAAATGGGCAAAGAACAAGAAATTCTTTCCACAGCAAAAGAAGTAAAAATGGCTCTTAAACACAGGAAAAGACAGCCAGCCCCTCAGAACGAGAGAAACATACATTACAAAGACACACCCTTTCCCTATCAGTTCAATGAAGCTAGAATACTGGCTAACGTGGTGTTGGCAAGGGCTGGAGGGAACAGGCCGTCTCATGCCATGCTGGGGGGGAGAGAAATTGGTGTAACATCTGTGGGAGGCACTTTGCCAATATCTATCCAAATCACAAGTGCACAGGTACTCTCCGATCCAGTAATTACACCTCCATGAATGGCTTAACAGGTAAAGTTACATCTGTGAAATGTGAAGTGATTGAGCATCGATCTATGAACCAGGAGTCACGGTTTGGTTCCCGGTCAGGACCTGAGGTTGAGGACTCTATCCCCAGTGGGGGGTGGGCAGGAGGCAACAGATCAATAACTTCTCTCATCATAGATGTTCCTAAATCTCTCTCCCTCTCCCTTCCTCTCTAAAATCAATAAAAATATATTTTAAAAGAAGGTGTGATTCCAGCTATGGGCAGGCGGCTCCGTTGGCTGGAGCATCGTCCCATACAATAAAAGGATGAGGGTTCGATTTCCTATCAGGGCACATATCCAGGCTGGGCTTGATCCCCTATTGGGGAGTGTTTGGAAAGCAACCAATCAATGTTTATCTCTCTCTCCCCCTCCCTTCCTCTCTCTCTAAAATCAATAAACATATCTTAGGGTGAGAATAAAAGAAAAAGAAAAAGGCATGACTCCTTAGTTATTAACATGAAACAATCCACAAGATGTATTAAGTAAACAAGGCACAGGATAGAATCATTACCAGAGTCATCTTTTCACCGGATACTCCTTTCTACTTTTCCCACATGGTGTGAAAAACATAGATGCTGACATATTTTTTAAAGACATTCACTCCTTCCACCCCTCTGGGCACATTACAAACCCTTCCCTTCTTGCTTTCACTCACTCAGTATAGCCCATCTCTGTATAAGTGGGGGAGCAGGGCGAGGAGGGAGGAGAGTGAAAAGAAACAGAAATAAAAGCAAACACCCCATTGAGAGGTCTTTTCTCCCTCCACAGTTTAAAGATAAAAACTAAACAAAACCAGGAGCCCCTGCTGACAGCCCGCTTTCTGCTTCCTTTGACCAGTGAAAGCTTTTCCTCCGGTTCCCTCTCTCTCCCACTGAGAACAGGAGGGGGAGCTCCTCTGCAGGATGCTCCAGGCGTGGCCTCTCACACGGTCATTTATTCGCAGGTGGTGTCCAGGGTTTAGGGAGCAGGGGCAGGGGCTGAGACATCCCTACCGGGATGCCTGCTTAAGCAACACAGCCCAGGCTTCCACGTGGCAATTCTGGGAATTATTGGTCTCAGGCAGATTCTGCTTAAAAAAAAAACAAAAAAAAAAACCCACCAAATCTACCCTGGTTTAATAGACAGAGACGGCGGTCAGGAAGAGAGCTCCATCACCAGGAGATGCAGCGGGAAGCAGCAGGTGGGGCATCTGAAGGATGGACAGAGGGAGGTGTGGTTCTGCGTGGGGGGACATGCAGCCACAGGTCTCCTGAGCTGGTGCCCCTGCTGCCCAGGCCTGACATGCACGGGGAGACTTAGTGGGCAGGCGCCAGCCGCAAGGTCTTATTTCCACTGGGTCGGCCACAGAGGAAGCCAAGACACAAATCTAGAGGAAGCCCAAGTCAGCACAGCCCTGCTCTCAGCAGCCCCCACCTCCCTCCACACACATTGTCCCATGGCATTGTCCAGCGGCAGGGAGCAACCCCTGGCCTGGAGTGACCTGTGCTTAGGGCTGCACCTGGGCCTGCTGGCTCATTTACCCTTGGCCTCTGGCAGAAGGGCCACCTGCTCAGACAGCCACCAGGGAGGGGAAGGGAGAGGCGCCACAGCCAAGACAAACAGGCCTAGCAGTTTGGTCCATAGGCTTGTCCTTGAATGGCTCCTTGCTGGGCGGGATGGGGTGTGTGTGTGGGGGGGGGGGGAGGAAGGTCACAGCTGGTGGGAAGACAGCCTACCATACTCCAGGGGCAGACTGGGGGGGGGGGGCATGCTAATGGGGGGCTGATCATGGGACTCCGGCCTCAGGAACCTGGGGGCCCTTCCCGGGAAGGCACCACCCTTCTCCCCAGATAATAGTCCCTACCTCAGAAGACACTGTGTAACTTGAGTAAAATAATATTCCTAAGATGCATGGCTCATGGGAAGTGCCAGGCAGAGACTGAAGCCCTGATAAAGGTTAGTGAGATCAGGCTGGAGGTCCCACATCT